ATAAAATTTAATTCGCATGGTATTTTTTGTTTTCTTGCGAACATGTCTGATCTACGAAATTGCACACGTACTAGGAACATTATGTTATATTACACTATTATAAACCAAAATAGTGCTTCTTCCATATCGTCAAACATCACTAAAATAACTGAACACTATTGAAGAATGAACAGAAATACAGTTGAAACTGGGATGGAAAACTAAGTAAAAGTTGGAACGTGTAGACACTTTATAAAATGTACGTCTTATTGTTCATTTTATATATCCAGCAAAACGTGCAATAAGTCGTTGCATGTAAACCGGGCTTTATAGGTAAAAATACCTTTTCGGCGGAGTCGAAATATGCCCCGGTGAAATACATAAGCGCCAAAATGCGATAAGAAAAAAAAAGTCGTATCGTACAAAAGCGCTAAAATCGTATCGCACGAAAGCGCCAAAATCGTAGGTACCTGTGAGTCTTGGTTAAATAACAGATATTAATTTGAACTGAAATTCCGGATAATGAGTTTATACGAACTACAAATGCAGCTGAATCATATCATTGACATTTAAAAGATCAATTTTATGTGGTTCATTCTTCCGTTCATATAGTAATTGATGTATTATTAAAATTACAAAGCGAAAAATATTTATTTATGAAATCTCCTCGTATCAATAAATTAATGATATCTCACGAAGAAATAATTGTTCAACGGAAGAAATACCAGGATGGTGAAATAAATCGTACAGAATACGTGAAAAGAGTGGGATTAAAAAATTAACCAATTTATACATTATAATATTATATAATTTTTATTAAATTTATTATTGACATTTTTTTTTTTATAAATAGAAACCAATTTATTCATTTATTATATTTATATTGATTTGTATATATATATATTATAATTTATTATCGACATAATAATATTAATATAATATATAATATAATTTTTATTAGATATAGCAATTTTTAAATAACTACCTACTTATATAAAATATTAATTTTGGCACTTATGTCATATTTCGGGTAAAACAGGTACATAATATTATTAGCACTTATGTCCTACAGACTTGGCGCAAATAATAGGTCATTTTTGTACCTTTGGCGCTTATATTAAACAGCCAATATGCCCGTTGTTATACGTCGAATAGGAATTAACAGTTGGTGTTTAAATTTCTAAATTAATTTTCTGAAGTGTTTAAATATATTTTACCATTTCAAAGATGATTGTTATTATAAGTTTATACAATTATAATGATACATAAATTATATGGGATCAGTACATTTTCCCGACATTAAATTGCCCAACACCTTAATTGCCTGACACCATTTGCCTCACACTACACGTGCTCGACAATCTCAAATTCAACATTTATTTTAATTATAAATAAATATGTGTCAAAAATTATTCAAAATTTTAATAAAATATTATATTATATTATGTTATTTACAAATGAATGTTAAATTTAAAATTATACTAATAATAACACACTTGCTCTTATTAAGTATTACTCAATACTTAGTATCTCTTCACAGAAAGATATTATCCATGATAAAATATTCGTTTGATTTAATTTTTTTTTAATTATTGTATATTTATATTGCATATTAATAAATAATAATAATAATAATAATAAAATATCGTATATCAGTATTACGTACAGTAAAAAAATGTAAAATATATTGTCGGGCCTCGGGCAAATGTTGTGTCGGGCAAACATATCAGACCCAAATTATACTATTATAATTAGGGAACGGTTTTTTATGTAATAAAAAAGTCAAAGTATATAAATATATTTATTTATTTATTTATGGAAAATTTAAACGGGTTAGGTCCAATATATATAAGAAAGACAAGACCATGTTGGTTTATAGCGTATAGTTTACATGTGTTTTCTTATGCTAATACAATTTAGTTGGTAGACAGAATAAAGTTACATTATGTACAAATAATAATTAAACAATATTTACATTATTTTTAAGTTATACATTTAAAGTGATAATATTATTACAAATGAACAAATCAACATTAAACATGTTTACATGGCACATTGACCTAGTGATGGGAGCATTTTTAGCATAGTTAATACGATGGTGCATAAAATGTATATGAGTTCCTGGTACAAGAAGCGGGTACTAGAAAATTAGATTTAGCCAGTAGCTCAGAACAATTAATGATACCGTTTAGTAACTTAAAAGTGAAATTAAGGTCTTATTCTCCTTATTCGTAAAGTTAATGGCGAATAAGATGTATGTCGCTGGTGATGGACACCACTTTTAAATTCAACCTTAGGAAGCGACTTTGAACCGCTTCAATATCATCAGTGGGACCAGACATGCAAGGAAACCAAACGACAGAGTATAGAACGTATATATATAGTATATTCGAGTATAGAACGAACAAATTAACAATAAAGAGATTTTAGAGCTATAGGATTGTTAAAATCAGAATAAAGTCTGCTTATAAAATCTAACATTGAAGATGATTTGTTTATGATGTATGCATAATGATCATTGAAGATAAGTAAGGGTCAAAGTTAACACCAAGGTCTTTGATATGAGAAACTTTAGCCAGTTCAGTATCAATTAAGTAATACTTATAAGTTTGAGTTACACGCTTTTTTGTGTATGTCATAATTTTGCATTTATCGATATTGAAATATAGTTTATTAAGAGCACACCAATTATTGAGTAGGTTAAGATCAATCTTGAGCAATTTTTCATCATTAGGAGTCTTAATTATTGGGAATATTTTTAAGTCATCAGTGAAAAGTAGTAAATGGGAATTCATAATATTTATATCATTTATATATATTAAATAAAGATGGAGCTAAGTGACAACCCTGTGAAATTCCAAAATTGTCATCGTAGAGCGGTGATTCAAATTTTTTTTTTTTATATATATACTGTTTTCTATCAGTAATAAAAGAGACTAACTAATAAGGAGAATATATGTTTTCATTTTTGTCAAAATATGTATTAAAATCGTGAAATACTTAACAAAATCGGTATTTTACGTTCATTTTTAATTACTAATTAATAATTATTTATATAATCATCTTCATTGTTCCCTTCTTCGAAACAATTGAATATAACGTACATTTGGAGATTTTCAAATTTGAATGTACGGCGGTTAGATTTTAAAATCGACTTGTAACGACTGAAGGTATATTCAACATCGACCGAAGATAATGGGACATATTTCATACTAAATATGCCGGATGGTGTTACTTCAATATTATTTGATGTAGTTATTTATTCTTTCATTTTTATTCGTAAGAATATCTCTAATAGTTTTAATTTTTTGTAATCCAGCGTTATTACTGAGTACGTAGTTTAATTTATTTCTAATTAAAACTTCGGATCCTACTTGAATTTGATTTAATTTGTTTTCTGCATTTTCCATTATAGCAAGACTTTCAATTGTTTTTAAATGTTTTTAATTTTTTTATTACTTTAACCAAGAAAAAAAATATATGAAAAAATATGCTAAATTATTTTTCAGGTTATTATTTTGTATAATATCAGAAGCTTGTGTAATAATAATTGCAGTATCTGAATCAAGATGTTAAATAATTTCTTTAATTTTTCTTCAATTTAATTCTAATATAATAATTTCAACGCAAATAAAAACTGTATACGTAAGAAAATGTGAAATATTTATAAAACATGTAAATATTGATGAAATATTTAAAAATATATACTTACCTAAATCAAAATATGTGAAAATATGTAAAATAAAAAAGTATTATATTATTCAAATTGTTATGAAACGTCCTTATTTTTAATTGAAATTGAGAAATTTACATTTATTAAAATTATGTATTTACATAAAAATCCGCGTTCTAATTATAATCAAGATAAAATTATAACTAGTGTTATTTTAGTATTTTTATTGCTACGTATAAATTAATGTTATACAAATTAATTTATTAAAAAAATTAAACAATACATTATTATAATTAATATTTACAAGTTACATATTAGGAACCTACATAATATTATACTGTTTGTAGGTTAGGTTAAGTAGGTTAACCTAGCCAATAGCTATGTAGATAAATAGTACACAATGATATGTTATTGTATTGGTTATTAAGCAAGTTATGATTATTTAAAATATTTTAACTTATGTGTATTTTATGAACCGTCTTAAAAAAAAAAAAAGAATGAACTAAAAAAATAAAAACGGGCGAATTTGTTTATCGCCTTCCATCTATAATATAAAAAGAAAAATGCTAGACACCCGCAAATGTAAAACTCTGCGTTCGTCTATGCGTTTTATATACCCATAATCAAGAATAAAACCCGATTAGCTTTTATAAAAGTATACTTTTTTCTTCACTATGCTTTTGTAGTATTGGATCAATTTTCACTTACAATTGACAGTTGTGAACTAAATTACCTACGTAGCTTTACATGCTTAAATTATATTAGTAGAATGAACGAAATACTTATACTTTGCAATATAATACGGTTTATATAATGTCCACCATTTCTGTCTATATGTACCTATAAGCAATACAAGTAAGGTATTGAGATTGGTGTGTCGTATGCATGTTTTTTACCTACACACTATAGATTTGACATTATTTAGTAAAGAAAATAAATTATTTTATATGAATATACATTACTAACCTGTTGGTGATCATACAATTTTTTTTTCAACACTTTGTTATCGGGCGCGAATGAAGTCTTCTATATGGATACATGTGATTTCAAAACATATATCATACTTATGACCATAAAATGTTGCGAATACTTACACTCGAAATATAACTGTTTCTAAAATATGAAAACGGCCAAAAATGTAACAATTATTACCTACTTAATTAAACGTTTGTTTGTTTTAGTTTAGTTTCTTCATAGGTACCTTCTTGAATCGGATGATATTAATTATTTATTCACTAATCAAATTCATTATTGCGATTGACCCTCTGTCAAAATGTACACCTCATTTCCTTTCGACTGTATATGCCGCAATTGTCTCAGTCTTGAGTCTGTTATTATAATAATGTGTCGTAACCCACAAATAGAATAATTATATCGAATCCTAAAGCTTGCCTTCATTATTTAACATTCAATTGCTAAATGTGTTCAAAAACATCAGTTGCATCTAACGATTATTGTTTTATATTTACATTCTAATTTTACAATTATTCAAAATACAACTGAAGTATAATCTTTATAAACTATAATATGGTCAAAGTAACAATCAACGAAGATTTGCGGAAAGAACGGACGACGTGTACATTCAATTTAGAGGAATTAACTAATTTCTTGGACGATGGTGTGGAAAATACCAAAAAAAGACGAAAACTCGGTATACTGAATTGAATAAATCGGGGGTTGGATATTTTTTTATTTTAGGGGATCATATTATTTTTTCTTAACTCTTTATTGAACGATACATTTAATTAGTATCAAATTTAATATTTTAATTGCACATAAATATGATTTCAAGTGCTCAGTAGTATTTACAGACATAGCAAAAAATATATTTTTAGAAAAAATTCAAAATCAAATGATTTTTATTACATTTTACTTGCTATTTTAATTGTATCAGCTTTTAAGTTTGTGTTTTTCAAGTTTCTTATGCAGCTGTAGAAAATATTACAACTTAAATGAACTAACACTTATTAAAAGTATAAATTATTATTTGTTTTCCAAAATATAAATAATGAATAAAATTTCGACTTTATTAATACATAATGAAAAAAAACATACTTTTATCCTAAACATTAAAAAAAAAAAAAAAAATAGATGTAAAAAATAGATACCTGTAACGAAGTTTTTACGAGCCAAAGTATAAATCATTGTAACCAATAACTTTTTGGTTCTTGTTATATTACAATATGTGACATTTGTGCTTAAATATTTATACAATTATAATTTTTAGAGGATTTTTTCCTAAACGATCCACGTTTTAAAGATGAAGTACCTTTGGAATACTTAAGCCATCAAGAACATTACGAACAAGCTATTAAGAAATCATGCATATTTTTGACAAAAATTAAAGAATGGGAAGAAATATCGAATAGTCATACCTTACAGATTTATACGTAAGTTCAAATTTGATTTCGTTTTATTATTGAAATATATTTAATTTAAGTATTCTAAAATTCTGAGTTATCCATTTCTTATTTTTAAATATTGTCTATATGAATTATAAGATAAAATATTCTATTCTAAATTCGAAAAAAAAAATAATTCTCAATTTTACCTCATTATTAAACTATTTTACGATTTTTATATCTTGTACATTTTAATATAAAGAGTTTATGATTTAAAATTCTTTTTCTCCCAATACGTAATCTTAATCAAACTATAAACTTAATATAAATCGATTTCTTGTATGAATAATTATCATTATTTTTATAGAATTCCAAACTTAAACATAAATTACTTATTTTAATATATTTTTCTTTCTTATTCACTATTTATAATATTTTAGTAGCTTATTATTTTTTTTACTACGTTTTTAATATTAATAATCTTTTATTTGAACTATAAATAGCTTCTAGTGTTTATTATATTCATAATTTTACAACGTTTTTTTCATACAAGATCAATAATTTTTACAAGCTTTTTAATTTTGATTATTCTATCTCTAAGTCATGTTATAAATCGAGTTTTGTGACTCATCTGTAAATAAGTATAAGAAATACAAACAAATTAAATGACCATGTTATGGTTTTATACGCAGTCAAAAATATTTATTTTAAATTTACTGCAATAGTTAAATAATCAATAATAATCATTATAAAGAAAACAAATGTAGAATTTTTTTAGGAACGTCTAACAATTTAATTAGTAAACACCTTTTTTTATACGTTCAGAGACATTTGGAGTAGTGGAATAGATACAGCAATTATTAAACAAAGTTTACCTTTTGCCGTTCATGTAGTTATGTTTCTACCAGCTTTAATAGGGAATGGTACTCCAGAACAAATAGAAAAATGGGTTGAACGTGCTTTTAAAAGTGCAATTTTGGGTACTTATGCTCAGGTAATATTATAAATTTAACAACAAATTACTAAAAAATTAAGGATTATTTGTTTTTATTTTTGTTTTAACTTCTTGCCAATAGTATTATTGGTTAGGTAATTTCGTTTGTGGTATTATGGATTTTCACCCGATTTATGAATTTTTCTGGTTGGAATTTATAGCTTATTATTATAATAAGTGGGACCTGGATTTATATGCTCTAAAAACCTCAGAAATATGCACAATAAAATATATACGTATTATCTTATTTTGTAGGAATATACCTAATTATAAATACAAAAAATTAAAAAAAAATTGATTAAAAAAAAGTCTTATTCAGTGTATTAAAAATTATATCTTTGAAACCATTGAATTGCATATGTCTTGAAAAAAACATGATTTAGAAGTTGCATTTAAAATTAATGTTTATTTGTTTCTAGTAAACTCGAACGTTCAATTGTACTTTTGTGTTTTTCAGTTAATTTTGGATGACTGTAAAACGTTTTTCGCCATTCTGTTGACGTTATATTTTAAACAGAACAAAATCAAGTTATCTATAGAAAATATACCTTTATATTCGGCAACAAATTTATTAAGCCTACTAGACATAGTTGCACTGATTTTTGGAATTTTAAATATAAATAAATTAAATCTAATGAAAATTACTCGCACTCAGATCAAGACAAACACGAAGAAACAAACGCGACTAATGTATGATTCGCGAAAACCTACTCAATAACAGATTACTATTCATCCCGTTCAGTATCAGATAAGATAAGAAAACGATTTCGTCAAATTACAGTGACTATAAATACGTTTTTTTAATTTATATAAGCAAAATATTGCATTTAAAAACCTTATACATACACATAACTTGTATATACAATAAAAATTCATAAAATAGAGAATTATGCAGTACATATCAAAAAATGGCAAAATATGTAAAATAAAACTTTGGATCTATTGAATATAATTCAAACCTTGCCTATTTATAAGTAGGTATACCTAGTAATTTTTCGCACCGTTTAAAAAAAACATGTAAATGCATATAAAACCGGGCCCTAATTATAAGTGATAACCAAAAACAGATGATCTGTATTAATTATTGAATATATATATATATATATATATTTTTTTTTTAAATAGTTTTCAACTTAAATTTAATATTAAAATGTAAATAAATGTTTTTAAACTAGACTGAACTTGGTCATGGGACATTTATTCGAGGCTTAGAAACAACTTGTACTTACGATCCAGCTACAGAACACTTCATTTTAAATAGTCCGACATTAACGTCGTACAAATGGTGGCCTGGTGGACGTATGTTTTAACAAAAATTGTCATCTGTATGTTATTATATTTTAATATACTTTTTAAAATTAATTTAAGTTGGACATTCTTGTAACTACGCAATCGTTCTCGCTCAACTTTATACTCAAGGGATTAATCAAGGGATACATCCATTTATTGTTCAATTAAGAGACTCAGAAACATGGATGCCTATGCCTGGTATTATTGTTATATTATCTCAACTTATTGTTATTTGAGTGATTTTACTTCAATCATAAGGCAGGAAATTTATTTTTATAATTTAATTTTTCTGTATATTTAGTATAATATTCAAAAAACAACATTGTTTTTTTTTTTAGAATTACTGTATAATTTACATCAAAAATAATATTGTTAATACCTAATACTAAAATAAAAAAACATTGTAAATTGGTTTTATAATTAAAGGTTACGTGTATTAGTTTAATATAATTGAAATTTAAAAAATATTTAAGTAGGCGCTATGAGTTTCTATTTAAATACAAATAATAAAACTTCTTATCCATATAATTTAAATGGATTTCTTTTAATTTGCTCATTTATAATTTTTGGAGTAGATTTATGAAAAGTGAATAAAGAATAAAAATTAAATATGCGGATTTTATATGAATGTATATAATGTAAAAGTTTAAAAAAAAAAATTATTTATTTTAAAAATATTAAAAATACGTGAAATTGTTATGATCAGGTATCAAAATTGGAGAAATCGGTAGTAAAATGGGTATGAACTCAGCAAATAATGGATATTTAGCATTTGATAACGTTCGACTGCCTCGAATGCATATGTTGATGAAAAATTCGAAAGTCCACAAGGTATAACACTTAAAATATTTTTATCATATGAAAACTATAATGTTTGTAAATCTAGGATGGTACTTATGAAAAGTCACCTCATGAAAAATTAACATACGGCACAATGATACTAGTTAGAGTATTAATTGTTAGAACTTTGGTTACCACTAATTTAATGAAATCAGCTACTATCGCAGTAAGATATAGTGCAGTACGACGGCAATCAGAACTTAAATTAGGGTAATTTATACATATAATACTATTTTTTTAAAGTTAAATTTTACGATATTGTTTTAATGCAATTAAATTACATGGTTTTTAGAGAGCGAGAACCTCAAATTTTAGATTATCAAACACAACAGTATAAATTATTTCCAGTTATTGCTATATGTTTAGCATATAAGTTCGCAGCAAAATGGTTATGGGATAAATATTTATTAGTAAAGACACAACTAGAACAAGGTGATTTGAATCAATTACCGGAGGTAAACAAAATACAGTTAATTGTAAATTAAAAAATGAGATATTCTTCAATATTTGTATGACAAATAAGTATCTTTCATTAGCTAATAATACAAAACTACATAATGTTAAACAATGCGATATAATTGTTGAGTGGACCCTAAAAGAGGCGCTTTTAAATTTTAATATAAGATATAATTTTAACATACATGAATTTTTTTTAATTCAGTTTATTATAATATAATATAATTACTTACAGAAATAGTATCCGTCAAAAAATTTGAAATATTTGCAGTTTCCTTGTAATATTTTAAATATATTACTGTACACTTACTTTCATAAATGTCAAGTCGTTTAAGTTAAAAAGATAACAAATTTTTATTTTAACAAAAAATGAACAATCAATTAAAAAATGTTCACAGGTTTTTTTATGAATGTATAAACCATTTAACTAATTAACGAATCATAGTATTGTCAAATGTTTGATCCCATTAGATATAGCGTTAGACTTTTGATGCAATTTTACTTGTCAAAATAATAACCACAAAAAAAAATATCGTAACGTTAAAATAAATTGTTCCTGGAACAGGAGTACATTAAAAATATTCGGATGAGAGATGCAGGGTCCTATTATTTTATTCCTATTGAACAAGTATTCTCTATCAGAAATATGATACGAAGATTTTGCGTTACAAAATTAAAATCTAATGATAAAGATTTTCTTATATTTTGAACATCCATAACATAGTATATAATAAAATTAATTATTCATATTTTTTATTCTGGCTTTTATAAATCTCCAAGAGTTTTCGTCGTCATCACCAAACCCCTCTACTTATCTCGATCTTGTACTATCTCCCTCCAGTTCTGTGCTCAAAGGTCTTCTAAATCTTTTTTTACAACATCCATTCATCTCTTTCAAGGACGGTCCCGCGGCATTTTTCCATCCGGTTTCCTATTAAGTATTATTTTGTTACTGCTAGAGATGGGAAAAAAGTTTGAGACATCGATGTTCCGATATATCGATGTACCTATATTTGAAACATCGATGTGGGTGATCGATATTTTCGACAAAAACATCGATGTTTACCTTAATAATTTTTAAGAAAAATTGTATTATGTTATATGTATTTATGTTATATATAAATTGTAAAATGTTTAAATAAATACGTTATTTAAATATCAGACTTCGGATTCGAAAAAAAAACCAATTTTTTTTCAATACGTCGCAATAAAAACATAGATGCAGGGTTTCGATATATAGAACGAAAACATCGATGTTTTTAAAAAATCAATGTATTTTGCCAATCTCTAGTTACTGCATTAGTATTACGCTTCATCATATGTCCTAGCCACTGTATATTTTAACTCCTTATGAACTCATTAATTATTACTACTTTTAATTCTTTCTTCAATTCTTGGTAGAACTTCCTACGCTACTGACCGGCCCTCGTAACTCTGACTGGGACATATATCTTTCTCCATATTTTGTTTACAAACGTCTTCAATCTTCGTTGTATTATATTTGTAGTAGTCCATACTTCAAAACCATATGTTAGTATCAGCCTTATTATTGATGTATATAGTCTTATTTTTGTTAATTTTGAAAAGAATTTAGGTTTAAAAAACTTTAATTAGGCAAAACTCTCTCTGTTTTTGCTATTCCGTCTGGATCTCAGGCGAAAAATCATTTTTTTTGTACCTAGTAGTGTACTTAGATACTGAAACTATTTGCCTTTCTCATATGGTAGCGTTTCCAATACATCTAGCGATGTTTCAATTGGATATGGGCAAAAAACATCGATGTTTCGGGTCAATATATTGATGTTTCAACATTGATGATTTTTTTTCAATTAATCGATTAAACATCGATGTTTATATTCGAAATGTTAGAACTTAAATATCGATGTTTTGATCGAAAAGTTCGAATTTTATTTTGTTCGTATTATTTTAGTATGCAGTAAACAAACATTTTTATTTAGTATACACTATATAGTTATAATCAGGTTTCGTAAGTTCATGCACTAAAAAACGCATAAATATGCATGCAATAATGCACTAACATTTGATCAAATATGCATTAAAAATTCTTAACTATGCACGAAAAAAAAACATTTAAGGATTTTTTCAAATAATAAGAATTATCTATTTATATTTTTTCTTCGATAACATTTTATTAAAATTATAATTAATGAACATACGATGCAACGAAAATAAATAGATTACAATGGACACGTTAATAAGAGGAGAGTGGTAGTGGTGCGCAATAACATTGTTTTCGTGGTACTGCTTTTAACTTATAAAATTTAATGTTATTAAAAATTAAAAATATTGATAAAATACTAAAATTTTATAAACAAGTTTGGAAAAGTGAATAAAAATGAATTCAAACATTTATTAATTTATTTTTTTTTTGACTTCCACAAAAAACGATTTCGCTGAATTTACATAAAATAATATTCGCTCGTACATGCATATGCATGAACTTACGAGAACTGATTATAAGTATTTAATATGTTTTTAAAAAATATAAGTTAAACAATAGTATTTTAGCTCTTAAATTTATTATTTAATCAAAAAAATAGTATACTGTACAAATAATAAGGTGTGCAACAGATGGCAGCTCTAGAGGGAAAAAAATTATTTTCGATATTTTTAAACTTCGATGTTCTTAAAAATCAATGTATCGATACATTGAATACCGATGTTCAAAAAATTTTACCCATCTCTAGTTTCAATGTTTATGAAGTTCCATTAATTTAGTTTTGTCTGCGTTAATGTATAACCCTATTCGTTTTGCTACATATTCTAATACTTCAGTAGCTCTCACTGTATCATCCAAGGATTCTCTGAGGATGTTGAGATCGTCTGCATAACCTATTACTTTTATAATACTACTTAAATAGCACTTCATGAAATCAGCCTTAACCGAAATAAACAGTTCAGATTCAAATTTTTGATAAATTATATAAATAAATAAATAAAAATACCTTTATTAAATAAACATAGATAATTTAAAAATAAAAATTTTGTATTTTTGCATAAATTTATATTATATAAAAGCTTTATAAAAATGGAAAGGTAATTAAACGAATAAATAATATTTTGAGGAGAACTAATAAAAATTTACGAAAATTTACGTATTTTCGTTGTCATCTATGTACAATCGATATTCGATAATTGACTTGGGTTAAATATACTATAGTATTAAATTTAAAAATTTGAAGATTCATATGCATATCTATTGTTTTCGTTTGTTATAATTAGAACGCTGTTTTATATTCTCTTATAAGTCAAAATATGGTGCATATATTTTCTTAAAATTTTGAATAAATGCCTGTAATATTGAAAAATATATAAAAATATATTTTCTTAACATTAAAGTATGTACTGACTGACATACAAAACAAAATTAATAAACATAATTTTTTTGTTTAAACTTAATTTTTAATATTAATTTTCTAAATGAAAAAACACAAATAAAAATAATAAATCAAATAACAATCTTTTGTTTAAATAAGTTAGTATTCATCCTTTCAAATGATTTCTTAATGATTGTATAATAGTTTTTTGTACAGAAGGTACAAAAGTATTACAGAAGTAATAAGTAATTGGTTGATACTAATATAACTTTAGTCGTTTTTTATGCAATTCACTGTGCATACTTAACTGGGTAGTTGCCACCTGACTTGAGACAGCATCAATCTAGTTTTGCTGTCTGTGTTTTAAATCCGTGGTGGTAACAAAATATTATAGTTTATTCGGGATGTGTCTTATCACAGCAATTTAAATGTACCTATATTTTAATTTGTGGAAATATTTAAATATATATATTTATTTAGTAAACATCCTAAAATATGATTTTATATGAATATATTCTCCCAACACCAAAATATATACCTATATGCAAAATAAAATCTCGTATTCAGATTCTTTGTACTATGATTTGTTGACATATTTTACTCCCATGGTTATGTATAGATCCATTAAAAAAATATTTTTAGATGAAAATCCGCGCTCTAGTTATAATATATTTTAGTTACATGCTATGGCTTGTTGTTTGAAAGCTGTTGGTTCGACTGACGCAGCTATTGGAGTGACTACTTGTCGTTTAGCATGCGGTGGTCATGGTTATATGAATTGCAGTAATCTACCGAATATTTATGCACTTATAACTGCAACAGAAACTTACGAAGGGGAAAACACGGTATTACTTTTACAAACGGCTAGGTACAACATGTTTTTAATAATTTAATAAATGTTTTACTGAAATACGAGTATTTTAAAAAATTAAAGACTTTTGATGAAATCGTATCAAGTTGTGCTGTCAGGAAATGGATCAGTTTCGACAACTTTATCGTATTTGAAAAATTACAATAACTTAAAGCGATTAAATTGGATAACAACACTAGAGTGTATGTCCGATGCATTTTTTCAAGTCGCCGGGAGGTAAAATGCTCGACATCGGTTCAAAAATATATAATATTTTATTAATTTTAATATTTTTCGAAATGTTTCTAGTAAAATTGAAGACTGTTATTTCACTATAAAAAGACTAGTAGATTCTGGATTTAGCCAAGAAGATGCTTGGAATCAAACTTCCATAAAGCTGACTCAAGCATCCGAAGTATTTAATCTGTCAAAATAAATATTATTTCCACGCCAATTCTAATTCATTATTCGATATTTCTCCAAACTCATTTTATAACCGTATAAGTTTTAACATAAACTTAATGGTTTTCATTCCTAATTTTAACTGATTAGGTACACCATAATACACAGTTTGGCTGTTTAAATGACCATATTCATTTAAGTCGTGTTTAATATTAGTATATTACCAATGAACATGTCTTTTTTTCTATTTCATTCATATAATATTATGAATCTTATTCTGTATCTATTATTCCGAATCATTTAATATAATTTAAATTTGACATAGAGATACAAATTATAAATTTAAATATATTCTATTGTTATTATTTTTCTCTTATAGGCACACTGTAGAGCATTTGTAATTAGCGCTTACATTAAAACAGTTATTGAAAACACCACATTATCAGCAGAGTTAAAATTTGTTCTAACTCAACTTGGCCAGTTAATTTGTGCACATTGGATATTAAATCGACTTGGTGATTTTCTTCAGGTGCATGAGCTATTCATATAAGTCTTTATATGTGTATAAGATATATATATTATCTTAAACGTTAATTAAATTATTTATTTTTTCAGTACTCTAATCTCAAACCAAATAATGTATATTCAGTACAAACTCTATTAGAAGATTGCTTAAAACATATTAGACCAAATGCTGTTGGTTTAGTAGATAGCTTTGATATTCGAGATGAAATATTAGACTCTACATTGGGTTCTTATGATGGAAACGTCTACGAACGACTTATAGAAGGAGCTAATAAAAGTCCGCTGAACAAAGAACCTGTAAATCGTTCATTTGAGTTGTATTTAAAGCCATTTTTAAAATCGAATATGTAAATCACTTCCATACCCTTATAATAATATACATGTACCTTAAAAAACAAAAAATGTAACTTTTGTGTAATACAGAGATGGTAAACCTATGACACGCGAACATCCTTTTAAATGGCACACGCAACTATTTAAAAAATATTATTTTTCATAAAAGTATATAGATTATAAAAATAAAATACTGAATCGAATATTTACAGTGTAGATTCTTCGCTACTGAACGACTATTACTTTTAATGTTTTCGATTAGAAAATTGTATTCGATAAGGTATATGTGTAATACTGGCTCACGGCTAATATTACGGTTAGTAGTTATGTAAAAGCGATTTTGCATCATTGCGGTCATTCGTATTCGTGTGTTAGGACCAAGCCCGTTACACACGAGCGATATTTCATCGTACGATACTACGTAATTTAGAAATTTGTAATTTTACATTTACACAAAACACACGTCTGCAAATACAGTGATTGTGATACATTCTTTTTTATTTTTTAATAAAAAATAATGGATAAAATAATACACATACTTCTTCAAAGGCCACTCTTTTTAAATTTACATTGTACTTCACTTATAAATACATTTATATCTATATTCAAATAATCCTCACAAAATTTCAGTGATGGTGAATTCGAAGTAGTTACATTAATTCGGAGGATGATATGATACTGAATTTGCTAAATTATCGTCCGTGTCTTCAAATTAGTTTATTTTTGTACATTTTGATTGCAATATTTTAGTCGTACAATATTCTTATCGCCTGAAATATTAAAGTGTATTCAAAAGTGTCGATAAATAAATTGTACGATAAAATATAGCTCATGTGTATCAGCTCTTACACTTTATCTTTGCCTTTAATATTGAATGGAAAGTTTTGACAGTTTTCACTATTGGTGAGTGTTACTTTTATATTTCACTAAAAAAATTATTTTTACATGTAATAAAATATTATTTTTTGTAAAATTAACGATGTCAAAAAGTAAAAGTGGAAGATAACAATGGACCGTAGATTTCGGGATAGTTCAAAAAAATAATAAAGCGTTATGTTGCTTGTGTAATGAAACAGTAGTAGCCACAGTTGAAATGTTAAAAGACAATTCAAAACAATGCATACGAACACATTTTATCAACTGAAGAAAAGTTGGAACTAATTTCGTACAACGCGAAAAGTTTTAAAAATCAATTAAGTAAATTGAATGTTGTGTTTAAACCAAATAACAATTTAACAGCCACTAATTTTTCTGTGTCCCACTGTTCACTTCATTCACTGTACTATACACCAAGAAGCTTTTTTTGCAAAAGATAGCATGAAATCGCTTCAAAAATTTATGGAAATCGTTACGAAAATTGTCAATTTTATAACATCTCATGCTTTAAACAACCGATAGTTTGCCAAATGATTAGAAGAGGTCGAGTCGCAATATTCTGTGCTTCTTATGTATAATATAAGCAGATGGTGTCCGTACGGGTCGAATGGGTTTTTTTGGGCTGGCTGTTAAACGGTACTCGAAATTTCCGTTTCAGTCGTGGGAAATACGGCCCCTGGGCAGCAGCCCGGCCAGCGACGTCGTGCTGCCGGCGACAACAGCCACGATGCTAATTGAGTTCGCGGTGCGCGCCGACCACTTGGCCATGTTGCAGCTACAGGGACGCGACCACGGTAGCGCTGTAGAGGATGATCGGCATGTACCATCGACCGGACAAGCTAGCGTGGTTGCTGCGCCGCGGCAGCGTCAACCTGTTTCCCGCGCCGGACGCGCCGCACTACGTGGACGGGCGCCGGCTAAGGGCCCAAGCACGCGGTCGCCGATTGCCACACGTATCGGTGCATAGCCACTCTGAGTGGCACGCATCAGTTTACCGCGTCCCGGTGGAACGTCCACGTGGCCACCAACCGGATTGTGATGTAGATGAAAGAGATACCGGTCGACGTAGCGAACTCCAACGAGTCCGGTGTCACTGCTGTTGCTGCCGCTTCAGTTGGTGGTTGTAGCGCGGTCATCCCGTTCAATATGGTCATGTTGACGCCAAAACGTGTGTTAAGTGCAACGAGGTCAGCCAAGCGTTCCCGCAGGAACCGTAGAACTTGGACAACGATGCGCCGTTCGCGCCCGATGTGTTCATCCTAGCCTCGGACACCTCGAGCGTGATTTCGAGACCGTACAGACATTAGTTATTACCTATTAGACAAGGTTAAATTCTTGAGCTACTTTTGATCCGGTGAAGGTGGAGGATCTGCAATCACCTAATCCGTCCTACTTATTTATGTCCTACTTTATTCAATAAATTGCATATTTTCCAAAATGTTACTGCATATTATACTACATATTATGTTATTTTTAAATGCATATTTGAGTACTTTTTAGCGCATTAAGTACTGAGCCTAGGTTATAACACTGAATACCACGTTTCATCTTCAAATTTTATACTTAAGAAACTTTGAAGACAATTTAAAATAAAAATCAAATATGTATATATATATATATATTGTATATGTTTTTTTTTTTTAGTAGTTTAATAATATTTCATCAAATTTTGTTGAAATTATAAAAGAAGCCAGTGACACGTAGTATTCCCAAGCGATCACTCATCCAAGTATTAACTACGCCCGACGTTACTTAACTTCAGTGATTGGACGAGAACTGGTGTATTCAACGTGGTATGGTTGTTAGCGATAATTATTTATTTTTATTTGAAATTTAACTAAATAAATCAAAATTTCCTCGACTTCCATTTAATAATTTCATATCATGGTCGGATTTTGTTCCAATCATAAATATTGCGTCATTTGTTTAAGGCTCAATTTCTACATCAATGTCTCATCTAATTATGCTACCTGGTTTAGAGATATAAATACCACCATTCAATTTAAGCCATGGTTTCCGTCTTAAACTTACTTATTCCATAAAGTAATTAGCTCCTTTTCTCGCCTCCGTTCTGGCCACACCTTACTTCCTTCACATACATTTAAATTATCTCTTAATGATTCGCCTCTCTGTTTATTTTCCGATATCCCATTGGTTGGTAATATTAATCATACTTTGTTCGATTGCCCCTTTCTCTCCTCAGAGCGCTTTCGTTTCTTTCACTCCTGCACTTTTTTAATATTACAACCGTTACTCGCCAGATATTTTCTTCAATCTAATACTTCCATTATCCTACCATCTCGTTATTATTTAACTCTAGGCTGCTTTTATAATCATATATAACATATTCACATAACTGTTGAGATTAGTTATATAATTACAACATTTTTTTAAAAACAATACTGGATTTTGCATAAAAGTCATATTTTTATTTTTGTTATTTTCAACATCATATGCACGCAGTCAATTATTAGTAGTCAATTAATAAATCATTAGTTGATTAATTTAATAAAAACATATTTAAAGTATATTTCTATATATTCCGACTTTAGTGCATGTTCTGCATATTTTTGCATAATTTTACCAAAAAAAACGTGCATATAATACACCTAACGATCCAAAAAGATGTTGAGCAAGAAACAATTAATAAATAAATACGTATTGCCATCAAAATTTTACAGAAACAGAGTCGGAGCACTTTGGTAACTCATTGTTTTTCAAATGAATATACCTAATACTACGTTAAATTTGTCATACGACTTTTCTTATTACATTCTTATGTAGGTACTATTTATTTTTATACTTTAAACTACAAAATGCAGTAAGAGTTTAAATTTTATTCCGTTTGTTTAGCAGTTATTTCACACATATTTTGAATTTATTTTAGTGCATTTTTGCGTGCATATTGAACATTTATAAGTGCACATAATTCTGATCTTGACATATAACACTGTGAAATGTATACAAATGTGAGCACAAGATGTACACGTCACAAGCGCAAAAGATATTTATGTAATTGGTTCAATATTTTATTAAATTTTTTTATCGATGATGTTGTCTGCCTGCAAATAAAAAATTTCATTCTCTGCTGAGTATTCATAAAATCGTAAATATGCATACATAATAAATATTATACAAAAAACGATTGTCATCATGTTTATAGTTATACGGAGCAATAACCACATCCGTCAAGATGGTTTAAAAATGGACAATAAAATAGTATTTGGTGACAGACTATTTGAAATAATAACACTCATCAAAATCTTCTTCCTACAAAATTAAATCGCTATTGTTCTGTTATTTACAGTTATTGTTTGAATGATTTTGTTCATCGTTTGGACATAACGGCTCACGGACAGGAACGGACTCAATATCGTTTGTATTAACTTTTAATAAAAATGAACCATCCTCATGTAATATTTCGGACGAGTTACCTTTATCAATTCGAAGTCGATTCAAAACAGGATTTTGTCTTCTCGCCGAATCTACGAAAAAACAAAATAATTCAATTCGAACAAACAAAATGGGAAAATAAAAATGTATATAAGCCCAGGCAGCAATTTTAGATTATAATAACTTTACATTAATACTATCATAAACTTAAATTTTAATCACTAAAATATTATTTAACATTGTGATAACATTGTACACATAATTTTTGACCACACTATACACATTTTAGTAATATTATCCAATAATATTTTAATATTTTAGAAATAACAATGTAATGATTGATAAAACTTATACATTTATAGTTTTTTAATAATTTTTTTTATATCACTGTAATATAATAGTGATACTATAATGTAAAATTGAATTAGGGTGCCAGTTAAAATCGCGAAAGTAAAAATTGCGAAAATAAAAATCGCGAAATATTTTAACAGCGAAAACATTATTAGCGAAAAGTAAAAAATATACCGGGATATATCTTTATAATATAATAAGTAGGGAAAGGATTTATATGTAAATGCATATTTTTATTAAAACGAGATATTTAAGATTCGATAAGAAATGTTTATGATTTAAATCATTCCTATTAAAATGATGATACTTTTATTTTACATATTTTTACATATTTTGGTATAATTACATATTTTTACATATTTCACTAATTTTTAATTATTTTTAAACATATTTTTATAATTTCATCATTCATACGTCTTCTTCGTACGAAAATACAAGAAATTATTTCAAAATTAGATCCAGAAACTTTTATCGCTATTGGAAAAGCTCAAAATAATATGCAAAATGAAACATTGAAAATTATTTAATTTTAATTAAAAATAATTTAACAAAATTATTAATAAAAAATATGTCCCCAAATGATAGTATGCAAATTGTTAAATCAGCGATTAAAACTCGTAAGCGGACCAATAGATGTCGTAAAAAAGAAAATTCATGCTGTTACAGAAAAAAATTCCAGGCAATATTGATTTTAAAACAATCAATGACATAATGAATGGCAGACAACCTTTTAAAAATTTGGAATTATCGCCTTCTGATAGTATACACTTGAAATATGCTTTTAATACATCGATTGATGTGAAACGATAATTTAGCCGTTTTAAAAATATTTTGATACCTAATAGGCGACATTTAGCATTTGATAATTTACAAGATATTGTAATAATTCAATGCAACAAATCTTTTTGATAATTTAATAATAATAATCACTTTTTTTTTAAAGTTTTTTTTCCCCACATATTTGGATGTTTTTAGCACATATTTTATAAATTATACTTACATATATATGTACATATTTCTGTATTTTAATTACATATAAATCCGTTTCCTAATAATAAGTAATAATTAACATTAAAATCAAAACACTATATAAAATAAAATTTAAATTTGATATTTTACCTAAATTTGTGTAAATATATAAAATACATCATCACACTATGCTATGATTATAGAATATATATATAAAGCTTGATAGCGGTTAGGTTTAACCACGGCTTATCTTTATTACGTGATCCAAGACGCAATAGTACAAAATTACATTGTTGATTATCTAGTATTATTATATTATAAAGGTATACCCACTAATGAAAATAATTTCTTTCCTTTCGCTATTAATGTTTTTGCTGTTAAAACATTTTGTGATTTTTATTTTGGCTATTTTATTTTTGCAATTTTTACTTTCGAGATTTTCACAGGGACTCATTGAAATAGTATTGTAATGACATTTGCTAGTAAAAAAATAGTTGTTTTTTTTTTGAGTAGTTGAATTCTTTATAAAAATTATATAAAATATATTGTACACTAGTTCGTGCAGAGTAGTACCTATATAATATTATTATGTGGTCATAGTGTGTTGTCTATTATTTTAAAACCTTATCTCGTTGTATGGTGTTGTTGACAAACAAAATAGTTTTGATAGGTACTCGTATATACTTATGAATTTTCACGAAAAATTATCAACGGTATGTATTTGAGACATTTCGGCTTAAATTTGCAAAAATACAATATCATGAAATAGCATACCGCAAGTAATAAGATAATAGTTATATTCATACCTGAACGACGCAGACGTAGGCATACGCATAGAACAATTACGTTTGTTAACCATAATAGCACAAGAATCAGATCAACAAATACAAGTAAATTCTCACGTTCATTAATGGCATGTGCATTAGTGTTATTATCCAACATGGAATATGAAGGATCCAGCGCTATTATTTTTTTGGACGATAGGATCGGCTGTTATATAAAATTATAATAATGTAGGTACTGAAGAAAAAAACCACTTAATAATTGTTTAAAATAGATTACATTTACCGTATATTAAAAACAAAAATTACTAACCATCTTCAATGACTGATTTGTTCCAAACTTGACTGGTAAATGTTCACTTAGCTGTTCATTTTTTGATGAAGGTGTATTAAAAATCTAGTTAGAAAAACAACAAATTACAACGAAAACATAATTTAATTTTTACATTATTTTTTTTTATCATTCGTCATTTATTGGTAAAATCAAAAATTTTTAGTATCATGTTATACTATAAAAAAATTCAAAATTCTATCATAAATAATTCATCCAAATAATAATTCATCCCAAATCATAAACAATTTTTACTCGTATAAATATATAGTAATTTAAGAACATCTCTACTGGGATATAGATATGAGAAACTATTGTATATAGATATTATCGAGACATCTATTAGACATCTATCGAGTATAGATGCAAGAAATCATTTGTTAGGGTCGTTATAATTGCAAAATAATTGATTTAAAATGTGAGACGTGAACATTTGTGAAAAATAGTGACAAACGGTTAGCTACTCGTAGATTTTACCCCGCTAAGATTCGATTCATCATAAATTCTACGGGAATCACAAAACTACTGCGAAATTGCATTAGTTATATTATTAGTTATTATACATAAATATATGAATAAATAAAATTAATAATTCAAATCTAAATGCGCCGTAATTATTTTCATTCCTTTACGTGTTTTGAGTATATAGACCATTATTATCAGTTAACTTAAGAATCCAATCAATAAAAGAATTTTATTGGTTTTTCTAATTATGTTTATGTATTAGTAAAATATTGACTTCCCATAATAATAAAATTTGTATACCTGGCGTGCCGTTGATGTTTCATTATAACTTAAGCTGACGGTCGTTACGTTTTCTTCACTCGAATAAGAAAGAAATGTCAAATACTGATGAGAAATTATAAACAATTATAATAAATAATTATACACGATTATTGCATAAAAATAAATTACATAGTTCAGATGTGTGTTTAGAAATTTAAGTATTTCTAGAACAATTCCTTATATTGTAAATGTTATAGTTTAGTATAAATTATTATATGTTAGTATAAGGTTTTATGATAAGAACAACTTGTTAACTTTGTTAAAAAACCTATTACCACAAAAAATATCATGTAGCAATTTTTTATATTATTTTTATATTATATTTGAGTATTTCCAAGAGGCATTTTTTCGGTTTTCCTCGCAGTTAACCCGATAATATTGATATATATAAAAAAAAAATTAACATTTAATGAGGAAATGTTTATATATTTCTTTAAAAATACTAGATTATCTGGATTGCAAAAATATAAAAAAAAAAAGAAAATGATTATCACAAATTTTTTTTGTAACATTAATTTAATAACGATGGATGTTTTTAAAATATTATAACTTGTAATTATTTTGAATTTTAAAGAAAAAAAATTATAATTTAGTAAATGAATATCACTCGTAATGAAATGGATGAAAATAATTTTATAAAGATTTTATGGAATTATGAAATTATTTTTACAATAAGTGTTATTAATGAAAAATCTTGCTTGAATTTTTGATCAAAATTAATTTCATTGTACGCAAACGTTTTATAAAATAAAATACCGTGGTAGTAAATAGATTACATATATAAAAATAGATACCTTATGTAAGTTGCGAAATGGAATTTTTATATACATCACCGCTATTTCTTTTTGTTTGAAATATTCTGTCATGAACGACTCATCGTTGTATCTTTTCAAAATACAATCGTCCTGGTTATAAACAAAATGTTTTTTTATAATATTAATCAGTTGTGGCTGGTAAATACTTAATTTTTAATAACGCTTATGTGGTTCCGACGTAATGCGTGAACCATTAAACAATCAATCCTGTGGTCACTGGTAAGCAGTGGCGGCTCATAGGTGTTAATGAAGGGAGTGTGACAATATGAAAAAGTGTCTGTCTATTCCTATATCATTTATTTTTGAAATTATTATTTTATTATTGTCCAAATGCTAGCATACAATTGCGGTTTAAAACGCACGCGATCAAATAAGACACTCACATAATCGACAATAATAAAATTCCTAGTCCCATAATCGAAATCCGTAACCCGCGGGAAAATACTACAGATTAGTTTGGAAAAAATTATCATTGATATTTATATGTTTGGACAACGCGATGTGTTGCAGGATACCGCGACTTAATCGTATCCGTACCCACATAGTATTACATATATATATTACATACAATATTATATAAAGTAGCCTGGGCGACAACGATTTTCGTCCGAAATCGACAGGCGGCGACTTTCGTCCAATACTCAGCAGTGATAGGTGGATACGAATGCGGCGCATTCGCACTTATAGCATACGCACGTGGTAGTCAGAGTGATCGCCCTCAACAACATTTTTAAAATGATTATTTCGATTATTTGAAAATCACCAATTTAGTATTTTTAATATTAAATAATTTAATAAATTATTTTGTGGTATACTATAACAATCAGAATTAATTTTCTTCTTTTCATAAATAATAATTATAGGTGCAATCGTCTCGTTGTCCAAGCCACGAGCCGCCACTGCTGGTAAGCCGTTTATAAACTTTTATAAATACACATGGGCGTATTTTTTCAAGACTTATGTAGGGAAAGGGTTTTAAGTTTTAAATATTTCTAATAAATAAGAGATTTTATAATATTGTAAAAAAATATACGTAAGATATGAATTCATAATAATATTATATTATGAGCATAAATAAAAATTAAGAGTTATTTACAACCACATAAACAAATATTATTTTTCTCTGTACCTTCATATCAAGTTATTTATAACTTTGAATTTTTTTTCTTTTTTGGGTGAGAGTACTCCGAAACCCCTCGAAAATACACCATTTTTTGTACTTAATGTCATGAACCAACCAGAGTCGATAAGCACGTTATCATCAGTAAAATATTCAATGGCTTTTTCATTATCTATTGGATTCGGCGTAATACGATTAAAATATTCAAAGGTATTTACTAACATTGTTAATGAATTGGATGTACGTATGTTCTTCCAAAATCGACTTTTTGGTTTTTGTCTAAATTAACTTTTTTACCCTTATACATAAAAGTTTGATTTAGTTTTCGTTCAAATAAATGTTATTTAACTTAAACGAAAAAACAATTTTGGCTACCACTGTCTACAAGTCTATATGATACGAGTCATGTGAAAAAATCAATAAAATACATTCAGAATTTCAGCTTATATAGGATACTTCAGATTGATGAAAGATCAGAAGATCAGATCAGCAGATGAAATCCAAACCAAAATTTACATTAAAATGAATAGTCCAAATTTTTTAGAATATTCAATATTGAAGCGACAAGAAATAAATATATTTAAAATTACACAATACAAATCTGGTTAGCTCAGACACTATGAATTTATCAAACCCAGATGTCATAACTTTAACAAATAATTTGTTTAACACTTATATTTACATTGATCAGCGGTTGTCAAACTGTGGTACGCGTACCACTAATGGTACGTGAAAGACTACATGGTGGTACGCGAAAGTCCGGGTGTAATAAAACGGAAATTAAAAATTCAATATTTAACTAATATATTAATTTCAAAACACTAATAAACTTGTATTAATAAATAAATAATAATTTTATTTTAGTATTTTACTGCCTTTTTATTTAAAATAAATGTATTTAACTTTGTGGAGTTTGTATGGTTCTATTTTTAATCATTAATGGTACGTGACTGATTGATAATATACTCAAGTGGTACGCGAAAAAAAAAGTTTGAGAACCGCTGACATTGACTAATATGTTTTACACTTAGGTATAATCGGACCTCCGATTCATCCACGCTCTCCTCAACAATATATTGGATGCGCCTGACCTTTTCGCTATTGTTTCTTTTAACTTTCTATTGTTATAATTTGTCATAAATATTACTGTTCATCATTAAGCTTAATATTAAGCTTATTATAATATCTTGTGCATTATATTTTAAATAGCCGTTTGGCATAAATATTCAAAATAAAAATAAAAATAAAATAAAATATATAATTACGGATTTTATAACATTTTCAGTAAAAAAAAATTGCAATGGTAACTAAAATGTTTTTCTCATTTAGAATGAATAATATTTTTTTGGACAAAAACCAAATAACTATTTTTGAGTTTAGGTAAAAAAGATCATTTGAACGAAAATCACAAGGTCGAACAACAGTTCCGTCCAATGGATCACACACGAATGGTTTATGATATTACAATCAACATATTTTATGATTTAAATCAGGGATGGCCAACCCAAATGATCTTGCGGGCCACTTTGGAAATACATTACGATCCTGCAGGCCATATATAAAATTATATTAGTATTTGAAATAAACAAAATTAATTATTATTGTTTTTATCACTGAATTCTGAATCCAATTCTTTCAAGAAATTTTTAAAAATTGTCGGTACGGTAATTCACTATTTTTGACTACCTGCATAACATGGTTCATCATACTTGAGAACAAAGATTTCGTTGATGAATCAAAACATTTTTTGCTATTACGTTGTTAATAATAGGGATTCCGCGTCGTACGGACATTCCAGAATATTTTATTTAAACAAAAATAATTTTTTTTTTGTAAATGTTTGATAAATTTCGTGGGCAGCAAATTTTCCAAAGTAGACCGCGGGTTGGCCATCCCCGATTTAAATTGTAACGTCTAATTTCAGATAAAAGTGTTCATGTAATTTTCGTAACATCATATCCAACTATAGGTACGGCTATGTTATCATTTCAGTGAGGCACTCAATTTAAGTTATAGTAAAAATTAAATTAATAGAAAACAATTGCAGTAGATACTCATGCGCATCGTTCTTCATTCCTACTATTCATCACATTAATTTGGTTTGATTGCGTTGTTTCATGATATTTTTTAAATGTTTATAAATTCATAATTCTTTATTCGCATTCATTACACCTTTTTTTATATCAATATAAACATATTGAATGAAAAATCTGTTGACGAATTTAAATGTTTTCACAAAATTAATATTATTATCTAAAACATATAAAAATTATTGATAAATTTCCGAAACGTGATCAACAGGTACCAATAAGACATTTTCTGTTTTAAAGACTTTTATAGATCACCATTTATGAAAACTCTTAGAGAAACAAAATATAAAATGACGACACTACTTTAATGTATGCAAGAACTGTCTGCAGAAATTAACAGTATTCACCCAGAGCTGTTGGCATTTTTGAAATGGACATTTTTCTTCGGTTATACCTTTGCAATAACAATTTTTGCATTGAAGTTCGAGTGGACCGGCGAACACGTGGCTGTGATCACCTAAAAGTTCGTATAAATATCAAATATCAAAAAAATATTTCTGTTTGGCGTAAAAAGTTTTTACCTGATAATATGCAACTCCACATCATCACGATCGAAATGAAATATAGTGACATAACTGTCTAGCAATATTTTATATTGTATACTTTAATCTGAAGAAATATAGACGTGCTTTAAAATATACTGTGCACTTGCAAGATGTTAGTAAAAAATAAAAATGAACACCTGTGTGACTGTAATATCTGGAAACACTTCGACGTTGGAACATAGACACCGTGAGCGGAATTATTGCAAGCAGTCGTCAGCAGCCACAACGATAACAGCATAAATATGGAATGCGTACAAACTCTGTTTTTAATCATAATTTTTTATCAATTTCAAACTACCTATTTGAGCAATGGTTTCAAACTGAATACTACGAGCATTCTTTAAGTGTATCACGATTTTTTAGAAAAATGTAATAACGATCAAAAAATAAAATTAAATGCCTTAAAAAGTTGGTCGTGACCATAAACATTTTGTGAAAAGCGCTATGTGCTCTTGGTTTAGAAAAATATTGAAAACCACCATCATTCAGTCACGCCTATACAATTACAATAGCCAAGTGTTTCTTACAGTTTCCGGATATAAGAGTATAACCGGAAAATGACTCCAACAAAACTAGACAATCTCCTTAAAAAATTAATAAGTAAATTAAAAAAACACTACTGAACAATAATAGGTTACTAATCAATAATGATTTATCGTTTTGTTCGAAATCAAGTTAATTTCATTCAATCAATCTCAAGACAATACTCTAATGCATTTTGTCTACACTGTTTTCATTGCAAACATGTTCACCGGTACATACGTAGAACATTGTTTAACAAAAATGCATAGCCAATTTTTCTACTGTCTTATTCTGTAAATTATTTTTAACAAACAGTTGAGCGTTTCAATAAACTTTTCAGAGAAATTTTAAAGGGGACGTTTTATAAGCATAAGCGCAATTAGGGGAGTGGGGCTAGGGGCGGGTGCTTATCCCCACCGGACTAAGATTTAGCCCCCCCCAATAAATATTCAATTTCATACCACATACAGCATACTAAACTCACAATAGTGTCTTATACAAAAAAAGACACATTACAGTAAATCCAATTTGGCTCAGAATATAAAATATTTTAACATGGTATATAAGATTACCTAGGAGTAATCTATAGGTTATTTTAAGTTTTAGTAGGAGGGCTGTAGCCCCCCCCCCCCAGATTTTTTACCCTAGTTGCGCCTATGACTGTGAGTGATAGAGGGACCGAGTCCCCTTGCATCCCCCCCTACTTTAAGCCATGCTAATTATAAATTATAATATTAATCGATTTATAGATCCCTATAAAACTGTATGTATCGATACATCGAACCATTATCGTTTTTTGCGCAACCCTAGTTGTTATATCTTTCGTATATCTCAAAGTACCTAGCAAGGGCTTACCCAAGGGGGGGGTTTCGGGTCCGCCTCTTCAACATTGAAATTTCTACATAATTAACGATTTAATAGTAAATAGAATAGTAGTATATTGCAGAGGTTCCCAAACAGTGGGTTGCGATTATATTTTTAGTGGATCACGATATATTTTTCATGTGTTTCTTTTACTTATAGTTGATGTATAATTATTTAGTTAGTTTTATTATTAACTGTTATCTGTGTTTGTGACAATTACAAATTTACTGTGACCAATAGAAATAATAATATTGCTTTTTATGCTTATGCTCGACTGTGTAAACACAACGCAAACGGATTAATGATTATAAAAAATATAGCAATATATTTGAAACAAATTAGTACCTGTTTGACGTTCAAATAAATTGATTATTTTCATTAACAAACGATACATTAAGTATGATACATGCACGCAGTTTAAATCTTACTATTTTTTAAATAACCAATACATTCGTTTTTTTTTTTTTTGTACTTTTGTACAGTGACTATGGACAAATGGTTAAATAAAAAGTCAATGACTCAAAGTTCTGCAAAAACTAAAGAAACAGAGATAATATCTGAGTCAGCGGTTAAAAAAAGAAAATTAATTGATGATGAGCTTACAACAAGTTCTTTGCAATCAAAATAAAAAGTGGATATCAATGCAGTTATGAAAAATAGGAAACAATTACATCCTTCACATTAAATTTATATACTTACTAATTAAATTACATAGTATACACTTTTTTTTATAAATATAATACTTTTCTTCGATTTAAAATTATGAAAACTGCAAAAAAAAAAAGGTCAATAATATTATTTTGGGTCGTCAAAATTGAAATTATTTCCAAAATGAGTCGTACTATAAGAAGTTTGGGAACTTCTGATATATAGTGTATTTTATTTTCCCATTATCAGATAAAATAAAAATTTTGGAACCCCCCCCCCAATAAAAAATTCCTTGGTACGCACCTGGTACTTAGTATCATAGATTAAAAATACACGACAATACATAGTACGTAATGGGATTATTTACCAAAGGATCTCATTATTTTGTCTGGCCTGTTTTATGGCATTATTGGCCACACTGCTAGAAGTCTGGAAATTCAAATACCGATAAAAAACCAAAGTTGATAAGCAAATAATTTTCAATTTTGTATTATTAAACGTTTACAGTATTAATTAATTTTGTACTATAATTCGATCGACCTTATTCTCATTCGTGGATTTTTATAGCGATTAAAAAATGGTAAGTAAAAACATTTATATTTCTAATTTTTTTTCATATATTACGGGCCTTATAATTTCTACAGTATGGATATTATAGATGCTCATAACTCAGTCATACCATTACTGTTTTGTGTTATACACTTTTGACATTTAAATTTACTTTGTTCTTTTAGTCTGATATCCAGATGGATTGTGCGCTAGATCTTATGAGGCGTTTACCACCTCAAAAAATTGAAAAGCATTTGAGTGATCTCATTGACCTAGTTCCAAGTTTATGCGAAGATTTATTATCGTCTGTTGACCAGCCATTAAAAATTATAAGAGATAAGCAAGTGGGTAAAGATTTTTTACTCTGTGATTATAATAGAGATGGAGATTCATATAGGTAAAGCTGCTTGTAATACAATATTTTTTGATATAATTAACAAACTATTTTCACTTTTACCTAGATCCCCTTGGAGTAATACATACTTTCCACCTCTGGAAGATGGTGCTGTGCCAACTGAGAAATTACGTAAAATTGAGATAGATGCTAATATGGCTTTTGATCAATATAGAGAAATGTATTTCGAAGGTGGAGTATCTTCTGTTTATTTATGGGATTTAGATCAAGGTTTTGCTGGTAATAACAATTTATTATTAATTTTATATTATTACATTTCATAATCACAAATTATTAATGAATTATAATGTCATAAAATCTTTATCGATGAATTATTACTGCCCTTATAGTTAATATGCTACTGATAAAGTAAATTATTTTGACATTATATGTAATGCATAGATATGATATATACTTCCTGATAATTTAAGCAACAAAAAAAAATAGTTTTAGAATTTTTTTGAGATAAATAGCAACATTTTGAAAACCGTATTTATATTATATAACTATATATAAACATAATTTTTATAGTTTTCAAAGTTTGTTAGTAAATCATAAATTAACTATTAAAACATATAGGTTAGATAATAATTATAAATATTAAAAAATGAAAAAATTATGTTCTTAATTTTTTTCTAAAGAAATTAAAATCTTAAATTTGTTCAGTACTTATAATTACAGCTTTTTATAATATAATTCATTTATACTTGTTTACAATTATTTACAATTCATGAAATGTTAATTATTTTCTATCTATTTTGCTGCGATTGATCAGTATATACATCTAGATGTATACACTTTAAGTTCGGTTTTTATGTATGACATGACCTTTATTTGTGGTTATTTATTAAGTTATTATAATTTTTAATAGGTTGTAAATTTATAATTGATGATGTTATTGTTTATTATTGTATAATATACCATATGGTATATATATAGAGCTAATTTTTTTAAGATATCAATATTTATGTGATAATTTCCCATATTAAAATTGTCAACAAGTGTTAATTGAATATATCTATTTTTATCATGTAAATTTATGAAGTTTAAAAAGTTAAATAATATTAAAAATTGTTGTATTGTTTATTTTTGAAATTAAAATTCGTAGTTATAGATTTTTGAATTGATTGCCATACTTTTAAATATTTTAAGTATTTATTTTTTGTTTAGGAGTAATACTAATAAAAAAAGTTGGAGATGGATCTAAGAAAGTACGGGGTACTTGGGATTCCATACATGTTGTTGAAGTGCAAGAAAAATCTACTGGACGTAATGCACATTATAAATTAACATCAACTGTTATGTTGTGGTTACAAACTAATAAAGCCGTATCAGGTAGTATGAGTTTAGCAGGTAGTTTGACACGACAAACAGAAATGGATAGTCCAGTGTCAGATTCTTCCCCTCATATTGCTAACATTGGACGTATGGTTGAAGACATGGAAAATAAAATGCGTAATACTTTAAATGAAGTTTATTTTGGAAAAACATGTGACATAATGAATGGTTTGCGAAGTGTTGTGCTGTTAAATGCTGATGATGAAAATAAAGAACTATTAAGACAAGACTTAACTGCTGCTTTACAGAAACGACATACAAAGTCTGATGCAAAAGATCCCATTAGTCCAGCTACTAATTAATAATTTGATTAAAATAAATCTTCCAATATTTTTTATGAATGCACTGGATTAATTTTTACTTAACATAAGTTAAATATTGGGTCTAAATTAAACCAAATGCAACCTACTCATTTAACATTTTGTTATTATTGATTCATTTATTGAATATGTTGATGTTATCTTATCAAATAGTACTTCTGTAATTTAAATTTTGATTCTCTCAAATAGTTTTTTTTATAATTTATTTACTTTTATTTAAATCATGAAATATATTTTTTTTAAATTTAATCTTCATATTATAAAGTTAAAAAAATAGTTAAAGTAAATTAATATACTGAAGTTATGAAAAGTAATTCTACTAACTTTTAGAATTAAATTGTTTCTGAAATTATATAAATTTCACAGGTGAGTTCCAAGATCTTACATAATTTATAATCTATGGACTGGGTTATTGGAAGTTTGCTTGGTATATGTGTTGTAATGAACTATGAAATTAAAGATGTTCATTCAATTACAAAAAATAAAATTTATATATTAATTTATTAAACCTTAATAATAATGAATTTAACTTATAAACAATATTTTTTTTAAATTATAATATTTATTTATTTTTTATTTTGTTCATTATTTTTTTATTTTATTTAGGATATAGTCCTACCTATTAATATATTTTTCATCATTAATAATTTAAGTGAATAAAAATAAAATTACTCAAATATTGTATTTATTGGTATAATTAAAAATGTTTAATAAATGTTTGAAATAGTGTTATATTTTATTTATGACATACTATCCTTCTTTTTCTCACTCTTCGTTAAATTCTTCCTTAAATTTTCTCTTAAACTCGTCAAAGTAGTTTTCTGAACTTTTCTGTATAAACAAATATATTAATGAAAATTTACATATTTTTTAATATCTTGTATTATAATGAAATAGGCTGTATATATTTCACCACATGTATGTACATCAAGGCTGTAACTGGGGGGGTCCAGGGGTCTGGAGCCCCCTTGAAATTTTCAAAAGTAGAAACATTTTAGCAGTGAATACAGTTTATTAAATAATCCAATAACAAAAATAGTCTGTTGTTTTTACGTTTTCTTAATCCTCGTTTTACCCTCCAACCACTCCGATCATTCATAGGGGCGCCAAATCAAACCTAGCCTACTGGTGATCAACTCCTTAATCAAGCCCTGGCCATAAGCTGTTATTTATGAAAAATTAAACGTATTTTTATAATTTTGAAAATACTGCGTACTAGAAGAAAATTATTAATTTATTATTTATTTATATTTATATTTATTTATAATTATTAATTATTTATTGCCACAATATTTGGTAACTGTCAATTGGTATAAACTATAAATAGATACATGAGCGTTTTAAAAGAATATTTTAATTTTTTAATGAACTTAACCATCGTTTCAGCAATTCTAGCAATGAAATCATTTTTACTTGTAATATTTTTTTATCTTCCAGTTCTGATTATTTTAATTTCAAAAGTCCCTATTTATTGTCTTTCCTTAATCATTATAGTCATTTTAAAATTGATAATTTAATACTTCAAACTGAATTCTTATCTGCAAAAAACTTAAATTAACTTAAATTATTCTAATATAGAACAAGATGATAAAATTCTTGATCTTTTTCCTATTTCTAAAATTTTAAATGAACTTCCAAAAACGTTTACTGAAACTCTTAAAATTATTAATATTCTTTTAACTTTGCTTGTAACAATTGCTTCCAATGAACGATTTTTTCTTCCCTTAAATTAATTAAAACCTATCTACACTTAACAAAGGAAAATTATCGGCTGTGTGATTTGTTAGTTATAGCTGTTGAAAGTGATATTGCTGGAAAAATCAGTTTACATGATGCAATAGATGTATTTTCAAAAATGAAAAATAGAAGATATCCTCTTACAGCTTAGATTAATTTAGGAACTAACTTTGTTTAGGTAATGTTTATAAAATACAAAATTATATTTTGCAAAAATGTAAGCTGTATAATAATATAATACATAAAAACGTGTGAGCGAAACTCCATATTTCCCCCGGTAGTATGGGCCTGTCAAAAATTGTGCCCCACCCCTATCAAAATTTGAAATGATGCCTTTGGTGACACAATAATAAAATGAAAAATAATGGGTAATATTTAATATTTATAATTAATTGATAATGTAATATAAATATACTGTATAGTATACACCAGCGATTCCCAAGCTGTGCACCGCGGTACCCCAGGGACATCACGATCACTTTCTAATAGCACCGTGGTCTACGGTTCATAACAAATAGTTTAAAATGTATAAAATTGATTTTCCTTATTGTTTTCGTAAAAACTTTATAGTAAATAATGTAATATTTTCTATTATATAATCGGATATTCTCATTTTAACCTTATAATATTTTTGTATAATAATTATAATCATACTTACAATAATTTTTACTTATCTATTTTTTAAGTTTAAAAATTCATTAATTTATAACTAAGTTAAATTTTATTAAAATTAATAAAATCAGTTACAATAGACTTTTTTTTTGTTCTGTCTTTAATTTTATTCACAGCCAGAGCACCGTGGCTAAATTGGGTTCAAAAAGACACCGCGGAAAATAAAGTTTGGGAGCCACTGGTATACACTGTTTAAAAATAAATATCAATAAACCAATGTTTGTCAATTAGAATTACGATAATGATAAACTTATTTTAAAAACAGAGTAAAAAAAAAAAAAAACTATAGATAATTATTTCTTAGATACGTCAGATAAAAGCTTTTTATCAAAATCAAATTCAAATTTGAAAAAAAAAATTCGGACTTAATGGGTTCATAATAAAATGTACATTTTTATAAAAAGTAAACTTAGATAACTATATAAATGCAACTACTGTAATAAAAGCATTTACAAAACTATAAAATACTAAAATTATTTAAATATTAAGACCAAGGTACAATTTAAAAAAAAAACTCTTCAGATTCTAGGACATTGTGATGTTGTTGAGACTATCATTTAAAGATCTAAAAATAAATATAAGGAAAATATTTAACTTAAAATACATTTTTTCTTTCATTTTTATGGATGATAGTTAAGCAGTTAAATGTAAAATTATTTAATCTAATTTAGTACCATACGAAATTAGATTAAATAAGTTTGATGAAGTCTTTAATTAATAAAGCTGAATCTTTTTAAATTCAAAATAAAATGAACATATAATAATTGTATTTTTATGAAATTTTTTATGGAAGGCAGGAAAAAATAGATCCCGATTTTATTATTCCATAAATTTACAGAAAAATAAATAAATGCTTGTAAAATTAATACTGCTTATTATAGTCTAAATACTCCTAAAAATTTTAAAATTAAACTTTAGGTATAAAAATCTAAACATGTTCATAATCTCAATAAGTGTGACATTTTGAATTTATGTTTTACCTATCTCATAACTAGGGCAGAGGACTTGTAGCTCTAAAAATTCACCAAATATGAACTTAAATATACAAAATATGCATTAAAAATATGCCTTTAAATATGCAAAATATACTTTTAAAAGGCGCATTTTAAATTAAATTTTTTTGAACAAAAATAAGAATTTTTCTGTAGGTACGTATTATAATGAATAAATGTTATTTACAACTTTATTTAACAACTTACAAGTTACAATTAATTAATTGGATTTATTTTATGGGTTTTCTTATCTGATACTTACTATAGGAATTTTTTATAATAAATAGTAGATAAAACGTGTTAGGACGTATGGTCGATTATTAACCGTCGAGAAACAGAGATTACTGAAATATGAATACGTCCGATGTCGGCGACAGGCGTCCTCGTGGCCCGAATCAATATTTTGTGCGTTGAACAATATTATCACATCTGTCTATAAATAAAATTAATAATCCGACAATCAATCTAATCGACAACTCTCGAGACGTGTTTTTAGGAAAAGCATGATGGGTCTAAGAAAAGTCAAAAACCATATTAATATTGTGATCAACATTTAAAATAATTTTAAATTCAACGTTATTTTGGTTATATAAATAAATAAATAAAAACGTTGATAAATATTGATAAAATGATAAATTATTTAAAATATGCATCTAAAAGTATAAAATGGAAGATATATGCCCTAAAAACCAAAAAAACGTAAAATTTGCATTTATATGCACAGTAAAATTTCAAAACTAGCTTTGTGGAAGCATGAAATGTATTTGTTTTGCACTCTGCTATTTTTGTGACTGTGCAAAAAAAAATATGCAAATGCAACAAGTCCTCTGCTCTACTCATAACAATATATTTTGGGAATAAAACAAGTACTCTTAATTTTTATTGAGTAATATAATACTTGTTAAAATTAACTTGGTAAAAAAGGATACTGATCTGCTATTTGTATATCATCTTGAATACTGAGATCACTGAACCCATTCAAACCTTTATTTGTTGTACTAGAACTATCATATGATATGAATGGTTTATAATCAGAAAAACTAGAAGACCATGTATTTTCACAATCATTCAAGAACACTTCAACTTCAGATTTAAATCTATTAACAGTATTAAAATCTTCTAGTAGACAATCAAACGATGAGTTTTCTTCTTGAATCATATGCTCAACTTCTTTCTAAAAATTCATATACATAAATAGAAATGTTAAAAAGTTATTAATTATACAATAAAGTGCGATTTGGATAATTTTTTAAAATTTATATTTTATAAGCTGTGTCTTCTTCAACATTTTTTTTATTTAAAGTCTTAACTAATGAATTATTATTAATCAAAACAAGAATCATTCAAATCTTGAATATATGAGTTATAATAACATAGACCTTTAACCGAGTACTACTGTTTGGGGCAAGGGGAAGTAACAAATTGTAAAATTTCAAAGGTTATTTTTACATGAATTAGAATTTTTTATTATATAATTATCTAAAAAATTTAAATAAAATCAGTGAAATGTTTGTATTACTTTTTTAGTATTTTACCAACTTACCATAGTAATTATGTAAATAATTGTCATCAAGGTATGATACTTGCAGTCAGGGGGCTTCACCCTTAAAGATTAAATAGAACCGGGAGTAGAACCATATCAGACGTATGTACTTAAAATATTTAAAAAATTAGATACAAGACTTTGTACAAATCGACATGCGCAATAAATTATGTCAGTAACTCATTTTATTAGCCCCTATTTGTTTTATTTCTAGATCGTGCCTGCTTGCTTGCACTACCAGATAGTCAGTACTTGAGTTTTTAAGGATAATTACAATTATAATTTAAAGAGTATTTTTTGGAATGTTATCATTCAATTTGATATTAAGAAATGTGGAGGAAATTAGACACTTTTTACATTTCTCATCTTATATACATAAAATTAATTTTAATAATTTAATAATTTTTAATACTGACATTAGGACACAAGTAAGGTATCAATATGTACAGCACTCACTTTGTTCCTTCCAATATTTTCAATTGTATCTTTCAACATAGACAATACTTTGACCCCTTGACCAAAAATGTTGGAATACATCATACTCATAGGATCTGATACTTTAGTTTCTAACGATCTAATCTGAGAATCAATCCGCTTTGCCAAAACATGCATGTCATCAAAATTCATTTTCGTATAATAATATTAAACTATTTACTGAATATTAATACTGAAATGTTCAAATATATTTTAACCATAATATTAAGGAAGCACAAATTACATACAATAAGATAGTGCCTGCACATTGATGGTCGTTAAAAACACTGTTACGGTATCACAATGTTGTTATCAATATACAGTCTTTAGTATTTTGTTGTTATCATCAAGCAAATATCTGTTATTTAAAATATGAGCGGCAATTCGTATTTTGATTTTTGTTGGTTGAAACCCAATTAACTTATTATTCAACTTTATACAATGTAGGTTGTGGTTGTAGTTGTGCTACACAATTTCATTAATGCTATTAAGATAAGACCAGACAATTTATAATAGGACATAAAATGTAGTATTCCAAAACTGTTAAATATAATAAGTACTTTATAAAAGTATAGTACTGTACTACTTCCATTGTACTATGAAAAATATCCAAATACAAAAAATTAAATAAAGAATTGTTGCAAAACTGGTATTTTATATTTTCCTAATAAATTGACAAAAAAAATCTTTTTTCAAATCACTTTAGTATGGTTTACTTATATGAGTGAGGAAACCTATTTAACCATTGTCTTGTATTCATCATGAGTGGCAGTGACTTTTTTTATAATTTAAAATCAACTAATCAATTAATGCAGTGATCCGCAATACAAAAATAATTGGGGAGACAGAAAATTTTGAGCTATTTCTTAAACAAATTAATATATTATGTTACGGATTTGTAAAAAGCAAAACAACAAAATATAATGGTAATTATTGTTTGTAGTTGAAATTACAAATTATTTTTAAAAAGTATTTCAGTAAATGCTTAAATATATATTTTTTCAAGTAATTTTAAGAATATTTTTTATTAATTATTGTCATCTTATAATTTACTAGATTTCTAACTATTAATATTAAATTTATTTATTAAATAAAAGTTTATTGCATTTTAAAAATATAACTATAATAAAAAATAATCTATTTATTTCTTTAATTCATACTGACTTAAAATTCGCCAATAATGTAAATATATAATTATGTACAATAACGTAGCATTGAATGACTAAATTTATATTTATATTAAATTAAATATAAAATTATTAAAACATTTTAATATTTTTTATTTTAGATACTTCAAATGATTGTTTAAAAAAAGATATTGAGGTTTGAAAACAAATTATTACGAAAAATAAATATCTATTTCATATTTCCTTACCTCCAGTACACAACCATGTAATAGAAAGTTGTTAAAATTAAAAGTAGTTTAGTTGACACAACAGAACATTAATGTGCAAAACAAAACAAAAATAGTATTAATTATTTATGAATTTGAATTTAAACTTTATAAAATTAAATGCAGTATTAATTATTTAAAATTGATTGATATTATTTCTAATCATTTACTTAATTTATAAATGGTTTATTATTTTTGGTTTATTTGAATTTTATTTAAGTTGAATTACTAGTAATAAATAACTCCATGTAATGAATACATGACATCCAGTGTGAAAAAATACATACGTATCATGAATATACAGTAGAAATCACTATAACGAGCATCGCTTAGAACGAGATACTGCTTACAACGAGCAAAACGTTAGGTCCCGGAACGAGCGCATATGATTGTATGTTAAAATATACGTTCATAACGAGTATGGTTATTACGAGTTATCGGCTATAACGAGTAAAATAAAGCTAACTTGACTAACGACCTTCCGGTTACTACGAACAAGTACCTGTAAGATACGAACAATTTTCGTATTTAGGTCGATTAATCATTGACATATTATCTTTAGTTGTGTAGATATGGATTACTTATTAATAATAAACATTATTCTAACAAATTCTGGTGTTTTAAAGTTAATAAAATTACAAATAGCGTCAGTTGTGTGTAGACGTTTTACTATGTCGCGTCGTCAGTTTACGTTGGACGAAAAAATCGGTATAATCGGGCGTTTAGAAAATGGTGAGAAAAACAGCGTAATTACAAAAGAATTCGGCACCTGTTCGTCGACAATTTCGACCATATGGAAGAACCGAGGTAAGTTAAAAAATATGTTTCAAACAACGTCACTTAATGCAAAACGATTGCGCACTGCACAGCATAAGGACCTTGAAGAAGCTGCACTAGTATGGTTCAAACAACAACGGTCATTGAGTATGCCTATAAGTGGTCCTATTTTGCAAACAAAAATTGACCAACTGGCTGAAAAAATGAAAATAGAAAATTTCAAATGCTCTGCATCTTGGATTCAGCGTTTCCGACAGCGGCACAACATTGATTTCGGCAAGATCTCAGGTGAGTCATCTGCAGTTAATACTGATATCTGCTCTAACTGGTTGGCTAACGTTTGGCCGTCCCTTCGAGCAGGTTACTGTGATGATGACATTTATAATGTCGATGAAGCGGGCCTTTTTTTCAAATTAACTCCTGATAAAACTCTTTGCCTCAAGGGGGAAAAATGCTCGGGTGGAAAATTATCTAAAGACAGAATAACAGTTTTAGTGGCAGCCAACATGACCGGAACTAATAAAAGAAAACTCCTTGTTATTGGAAAATCGAAAATTCCTAGGTGTTTTAAAAGAGTTTCATCACTTCCCGTATTTTATGAAAATAACACCAAAGCTTGGATGACCTCAGCAATTTTTGAAAATACTCTAAATTATTGGGATGATGAATTACGCCGTAAGAAAAAAAAAATTCTACTGTTGGTGGACAACTGTCCAGCACACCCATCATTGCAGCATTTGAAATTTATTAAACTCGTATTTTTGCCCGCCAACACTACTGCTGTACTTCAATCGATGGACCAGGGCGTTATAAGGAACATTAAAGTTCATTACCGGAATCAGTTGGTACTGAAAATGATTGAGGATATTGAAAATCAAATAGAATCAAAAGTAACTGTTTTGGATGCCATAATAATGCTGGATAAAGCTTGGCGTAATGTAAAATCGACGGGGATTGCTAATGTTTTCGGCATGCAAGTTTTTGTGACGTTACGACCGATACTACACAGCTACAAGCAGACAGTGGATTGATTAATAACATCGACGAGGACTACTTACAGATTGATGACGACCTAATAACGTCAGAAATTCAAACAGATGAAGATATAGTCGACAATGTCATAGCCAGCCAACAAGTTGAGCTAGATAATGATACTGATATTGATGAGCTTGATGATGAGTTTGGAACTGTGCCGTCAATATCCGAAGCTCGTGCTGCATTGAGGACACTAGAAAGATTTTATTACACAAAATATGAAGGTACAGATGCTGAAAGAAAAGCGTTGTCTTTATTAGAAACATCGATCAACTCTAACACGAAGCAAAGTTCGATCAAAGATTATTTTAAGAAATTAAATAAAAATTAAATCAATTAAAGTGTTTTATAATTATGTATGTATTAAATCTCCAATTATAATAATTAATAATAAATATATAAATAATGTATGTATGTGCATGTATAAATTAATCTCAAATAAAATTTTTTATCTAAAATAAAAAAGTCGTTTTTATTTTTGTATTTCCGCTTTTAATCGGTTTCGATGAATGTTCGTTCTAACCGCATATAACGAGAAAAACTAGTTGGCCCTTGAAACTCGTTATAACCGATTTCTACTGTATTATCAAATACATGGAGTTCGTATAGTGTTGTCTTCCATGAAGTATAATCCCCTTATCTTATGTTTGTAAATCGTGATGCTCACAAAACAACATAGATAAAAATTATTAAAATTATCAACACGAATATTTGAACATGCGACGCGGCTGCTCGCTGTTGTCAAAATAATCATCATCGTGTCAGTGTTATTTGTTTTATTTTCTTGATAATGTTTTTGAATAATTTATTTGTGGCACAGATATTGGTCTAGCCAGGTAAGTGTACCAATTTATCAGGATAATGGAAAAAAATAAAAACTCGTCGTCCAGTACGACATCGTCTACAACCTCGAAAACGGAAAAAAAGGAACCTCTATCACTGGAGGAACTGTTGGCCAAAAAAAAAGCCGAAGAATTGGCTAGGAGCAAAGTAAATGTAGGGTTATTTGTGTGTGCTTCAAGGTATATTAATGTTTTTATATTTTGATTATAGCCAGTGTTTTTGACCAAAGAACAACGAGCAGCTGAAGCTCTGCGAAAGAGACAAGAAGAAGTTGAAGGAGTTAAAAAAAAGCAAGAAGAGGAACGTAAGAAGCGTTTAGAATTCTTGCACCAAGCAGATGGAGGGCATGGCAGTAGTCATAGAGACGATCGGTAGGTTACTTCACCTTTATTTGTTTAAACAACTTGATGTTATTAGTTACAATATTATACATAAATATTTATATATTTTTTTAAAGTGAGCGTGATAGAGATCACCATAGAGACAGGGATCGGGATCGAGATAGGGATAGAGAACATGACCGTCGAGAACGAGAACGTAAAAAAGAAAAAAAAGAAGAACCAGAAGACAAGGAACAGTTTAAAGACAAAGAAAAAGAACAAGAAGCTATACGAGAACGTTATTTGGGATTAACGAAAAAAAAAAGACGTGTTAGACGATTGAATGATAGAAAATTTGTTTTTGATTGGGATGCATCTGAAGATACATCCATTGATTATAATGCTTTATATAAGGAGCGTCACCAAGTACAGTTTTTTGGTCGTGGTAATGTGGCTGGTATTGATATTAAAGCTCAAAAGAAAGATCAATCAAAATTCTATGGTGAACTCATGGAAAAACGTAGAACTGAAGCTGAAAAAGAGCAAGAAAAGGTAAGGTTAAAAAAAGTTAAAAGGAAAGAAGATAAACAGAAATGGGATGATAGACATTGGTCAGAAAAAGAATTGGATGAAATGACTGAAAGAGATTGGAGAATATTTAGAGAAGATTATAATATAACTATTAAAGGTAATTTAAGAAATGAATAATTAAGATTGTCCTTTTTTTTTTGTTGATTATTTAATTTTATATTTAAGGGGGTAAAATTCCTGAACCTATTCGTAAGTGGAAAGAATCTACAATTAAAAGTGAAATCATGGAAATTATCGAAAAAGTTGGCTATAAGGATCCAACACCTATTCAACGACAAGCAATTCCAATTGGTTTTCAAGTAAACTGTTTTATTATAAAATCTATTAACACATATAATTATGTTTTTATTTTTAGAATCGTGATATCATTGGTGTTGCCGAAACTGGTTCTGGAAAAACATTGGCTTATCTTATTCCTCTTATTGAATGGATCCAGTCTTTACCTAAAATGGAACGGATGGAAGATGTTGATCAAGTAGAGATATTATTTATATCAACGGTTCTCAACCTTTTTGAGTTTGCGACCACCTATAATGTTACCAATATGTCTAACGATCCTTTTATAATAAAGTCGATTAGCATAAATTAATAGAAAAAAAAAACAATAAAAATGATGTAAATTTTAATATTTTTTAATTTAATAACTCTTTTGCTGTTGTTGATTTGAAATAATTTTTTTTCACATAATGTGACCCTTAAAAAAATTGTTGACGACTCCCCAGTTCAAAATCACTGATTTTTATAATAAAATAGAAGGTTATTGAATAATTTGATTAAAAATTATTGAATTTTAGGGTCCTTATTCAATTATATTGGCACCGACTCGTGAATTGGCTCAACAGATAGAAGAAGAAACATTAAAGTTTGGTCAACCATTGGGTATAAGAACTGTTGTTGTTGTTGGAGGTTTATCCAGAGAAGAACAAGGATTCAGATTACGATTAGGATGTGAAGTAATTATTTAAAAAAATAATTTTAAATTATATTTTAAATAATTCAAAATTTTTTGGATAGATCGTTATCGCAACACCAGGTCGTTTGATTGATGTTTTGGAAAACAGGTATTTAGTTTTAAATCAGTGTACCTACATAGTGTTGGATGAAGCTGACCGTATGATTGATATGGGTTTTGAACCAGATGTTCAAAAAATCTTAGAATATATGCCTGTAACAAATTTGAAGCCAGATAATGAGGATGCTGAAGACGAATCTAAATTATTAGCAAATTATTATTCAAAGAAAAAATATAGACAAGTAAGTATAAACTCGATGGTTAAATATTTTTGATTACTTATCATCATAACTGATTTATTAGACTGTTATGTTCACGGCTACTATGCCTCCAGCTGTAGAACGTTTGGCTCGAACATATTTACGTCGTCCTGCAGTAGTTTACATTGGATCTATAGGTAAACCTGTAGAACGAACAGAACAAATAGTGCACATGATGAGTGAAAATGATAAGCGTAAAAGACTTGTTGAAATCCTCAGTAGAAAAGTTGAACCACCAATTATTATATTTGTCAACCAAAAGAAAGGTGCTGATGTACTGGCCAAGGGTCTGGAAAAACTTGGGGTGAGTATAATTAATTTTCAATATTTTATGCACTGATAATATAATAAAATTTCTATTTCAGTACAATGCTTGTACACTTCATGGCGGTAAAGGACAAGAACAGAGAGAATTTGCTCTGGCAAGTCTTAAAGGTGGTCAAAAAGATATTTTGGTTGCTACTGATGTTGTTGGTCGTGGTATTGATATTAAAGATGTATCTATGGTTATCAATTATGATATGGCTAAATCTATTGAAGGTAATTTAATTAATAGAATCCTTTGTTCAATTTTTGTTATAATATATTCATAACAATTATAAAGACACTAACATAGAAAATAATTTCCTTATAAAATAGTTGCTTTTTTTTTTGTGTTTTAATGTTTTTATGTTTTTTTTTCTAGATTATACTCATCGTATTGGACGTACTGGTCGTGCCGGAAAGACTGGAGTGGCAATTTCATTTTTAACAAAAGACGATTCACCATTATTTTATGATCTCAAACAAGTCATTCAGGCTAGTCCGGTATCGACATGTCCTCCAGAGTTGGCTAATCATCCAGAAGCACAACACAAACCTGGCACTGTAATGATGCCCAAAAAGAGACGCGAAGAAAAGATATTTGCATAAGTTTAAAATATAATAATAAACAAAAAATATAAATACAACAAAATTACAAAAAAATTATTTTTATTTGATAATATATTGAGTTTTCATTTAATTTATGATTTTTATATATAAAAAAACAATTGTATTATATATTATATATGAAAAAAAACATTAATTTTCTGTTTACATGGAATTCAAATGACTGTGGTTGACATCTAATCCATTCTCATTTTGATATCGCGTACAATTACCTTGTCTTTTTTACTGAAATAAAATGTAACATAAACTGTTTAAATATACATCAAGATATTTGAATGCTAGAAAGTAACAACAGTAAATTTAGCTGAAAGAGTGGGTAGCATTGTAAATGAAGTCTTCACGATTTTTTTAAAATAAAAATGTGACGAAAAATTTAGTTTATTTCAATAATTTATATAGTACTCACATAATATACACCTTTCCACCCCAACCAGAAATAGCATCACGATTGCATGCACTAATTAAAGCTTGTGAAATTGTTTCAAACAACTGGTCTTCTTCCATGTCAGGTTCCCAAAGTGCCTCACAGAGACCATACAACTGACTTGAACTAGTACCTCCAACCACAAAGTTGTCAGATTTATTAACACAACCAATTAAATCCATGTCGCACATATATGGTTCCAATGTTTCTTCATCTAAAGCAACAATCATTGGTTCAACAAAAAATGGTGAAAACCTGTGAATTCAAAAATATAATCAAATTAATAAAATTCTAGTGGTAAAAAATGTTGTTTTTTTATATAAAATTGGTATTTAATTATAATCAGTACATTTTACAAGAAATATTTATTTCAATACAAGTAAAACTTAAAACATTAAAAACACAATGAAATTATTGAAAAATACAGGATAGATACAAAATTAAATTTTGTTTAAGTATACTATTAGAAATTTTAAAATTGTCATATGCAAATAATAATAAAATAGTGATTTTAAACATTTAGCTATTTAAATTATGAAAATATAATTTACCTGCTTTCGTACAACAAGTTGGAAACTAGTGATGCTAGAGCCTTAGGAGATATTTTACGATTTTCTTTTAATTCGTATAACCTTTTTCTAAACATGATTTTTTCATATACAGTAAATATATCAGTAGCTAGACCAGGGAATCCCATAAATGTATGAGCGTTTATTTTATATACTTTCTGTAATTCAAAGTCAAAATAATAATTAATATATATATATACATAAATTTTTAAAAAAGTATGAAAATAAACATACAGTGAAATCGAGGGACACTGTTTGAGCTTGAATACCAAATCGTTTGTCAGTAGCAATAGCAACGCAATCTTTGCCTTTCATGCCAATTAAAGCACCACCATTATAATCCATAATACTCTGTAAGCATACATAATAAAATATGATTATTAATCACAGAACTATAACAATTATTGAAAAAACTTAATGCATTTGAAAAAGTTACTGTTGGGTTTTTCTACAAGTATACTTAAGTCAATAAGTTTTAAGTCAATATCTAATATCTATATATTATGCTAATAATTTATTAGCATAATATATAGGTATTAGTAATAAAGGTTATAAGACACTTAGGATGACATTTAGATGTCAATCAGCAGTTAAAACAGAACATATCAATTTAAATAAAATACAAAATATGTGGTATGATGCTCTTAAAATATTAGTAATAATAAAAATAATTAAATTGGAATACATAATAATACTAATAAGACAGCAAGTACATGAATAGTTTTTATTAAAAAGTATTTAGAATAATTTATGCTTTTGGTATTAACATATTAACAATGCATACCCAATAAGTTTGCGTTTAAATAATGAGATTAATAAATAGGTATAATTTGATTTTAACAAGGTTTAATAATTAGATTTAAAGAAATTTAATACATTTGAGAAATTATGATTTAATGTATAAAATATATATGGTAGAATATTGAACTGCCTGCGAGGCAGTTAATTTAAATAAACAACAAACATAAAAAATGTTAACCTAGAGCTTAAGTCAGTCTACTCGCTATTGTGTTCGACTAATAAATAAAAAATCTTGCTAAGAAACAGAAAATTTCTAAAAAATGAAAACTTATGAGGTAATGAGTTATTTATGGCAGAAAATTGTAATATTACACCATCAAAATAAATCGATACATTACCATTTTTAATAGTCGTTTACGAAACGGTGTATACCAATAAATATTCACAAGTTAATATTCGTGTACGAACAACGAAAAAACGATAATCCTCAGAAACACTATTTTTAAAAAAAGTGCTAATTCACTGTCGGGTTATAGGTACATATCGTATTATTATTCTATACTATGACTTAAATCATTTTTTTCGGGTAACATAAACATAACCTCAAATGTTTTACAGCGGAGATTAACAATAATACACGGCTAAAGATAATATGGTTGCAGAACGTCTATAAAAATGTGAAGCTCAAATCACAGCAGCATACAACGCTCTCTAGGTGATTAAAATAATAATATCATGGTTTAAGATTTCTTATGCCGTAATTAATATATATATATACTAAATACTATATTATATATTTATAATCAATGATACTATTTAACACGTTTAGTTCTGAAAGTCGACATTATTTATATTCATTTTTTTATATCACAGTGAAATAATTTTATTATTTTTACCACGGACATGTATAAAAGCGATAGGTAGTGACCGGTGATGTTAGAGTTTACGAAAAAATGGTCTGCAACTCGTGTAGTGGTTCTGACCACTCGCGTCGCTCGTCGGCCAAGTGCGCGCATTACAACCCGCCGCAAAAGAAACGGTTTATAAAGAGACAGGAAAGATTCTTAAACTGTAACGTATTTAGAAAAATCGATGGTTCTTCAAAGTTCTAAGCAGTTAAAAAGATATGCTTTGAAAATGGCTGGCAAAGTGTTACTTACGGATAAATTAATGTTTTTTTACATCGAAAATCATTAATAAAACATCATATTTAAAAAGTGATATTGATTTTCTATATGAATGCATGCTATTGAAATATATTATGTAAAAAAGGAATTTAATATGCCAGCATTCAAACACAATACTGTGTACTAATAATTATTATAATGTCCATAATATTTGAAGTTAAAAAAGTTATAGTCTTATAATATGTAAAAATGATAAGTATGTCATATTTCAAATATTTAATAAAAATTAAAAAATTACTTTTGAATTTGATATACTGTAGATGAGAAATATTATGAATACATGCATTAAAGTGGATTAGACCATCCATCAAATTGCTAAGTCGTAAATTTAAAATTTATTTATTTTATCAAATTATAGAGAATTAATTGCTTTTACTTTCAGAATGCTGAAATTTAATTTAATTTTATTAATATTGGAAAAATAATTTATCTGAGAAAACTGATCTTATAAAATAGAAGAGGATTATCACTAGGGCAGAGGACTTGTAGCATTTGCATATTTGTTTTGCACAATCACAAAAATAGCAGAGTACGAAATTAATACATTTCATGTTTTCACAAAGCTAGTATTTTACATATAAAAGCATACTTCGAGTTTTTTGTTTTAAGGTCATAATTAATTCCATTTAAAACTTTTCGATGTATATTTCAAATAATTTATCATTTTATCAATTCTTTTTCGCTGATGTATTTATTTCATCTAAAATATGACCAAAATATTGTTGAATTAAAAATAATTTTAAATGTTGATTACATAATATGGTTAATATGGTTAGGTAAATGGTCAACCGTTGACTGCACGCAGACGAATATTGTTCTTAGGAATATTTCTTGAGGATAGCTGAATAGATTAATTTTATTTATAAACAGTAAACACATAATCTAGACAAGTGCGTCCCTAAGGGGTGGAAGGGGTAGTTGCTCCCTCATAGCAATTAAGCAATTTTCAAAAATTTGTTAAACCCTTTTTTTTAACAAAATAATAATGAGCAGTGATAAAAATTTTAATAATATTAATGAAAAAAATTGCATAATACATTATGAAATATAATAGTACTGATTACGATTATAGATAGAAAACTGTTACCATGGTACTGGCTATAAAGTGTATAATGGATACCATGAACTATAGATATTCCATAGAGTAATAATATGATAAATCTTTACTTTTAATAATTATTCAAGTTTTTAAAAGAATATTTGCTGTATTTGAATGATGTTTAATAATGATAGATATTAGTTTAACTTTCACATAATTGCTTGTTTTTACTTCATGCTTTTTAGATTAAAAACTTATTTAAGGAACCAAATGGGGCAAAATAGATTGACAGGACTGACATTAATGCATGTGCACAGAAACATTCATAAAAATGTAGATAGTGAGTTAGATCGATTTGCTAAATATAAACGAATAACCGATTTTATTATATAATATATTGTATCTACTTATTCATTATTTGTATTATATTAGTAACTATTGAGTTAAAATAGGTTCGTCCCCCCCCTTGACGCACTTGAGTCTACATCATATAATTTCCGATAGAAATTCTACGATTCCAACAAATTTCATTGTACTAATTTTTGTTAATCGTTTTTCGTTAATAATTTAATATTTTAATCATCTAGTCTTAGTTCTGTAAACGTGATGTAAACAGTTCTACGAGCATTAAATCTATAAATAAACGATACTTTTATGGAAAATTATTATTATTGGATAGTGGGCCGGTCATACAGTAATTTCCCGGCCCGAAATTTTTAGCCAATCCGCCGCTGGTAAAGTCCTATACTGTAATTATTGTGACATAGTAGAAGGTGAATAACGATTTAATGTTACATAAAATTTAAATGATTTATATATATTTTTATTTAAATCATATTAAAAAAAATGTGAGAGCATAATTTTAGTGCATATATAGGGTTTTTAAATGCATAAGTTCTTGCATATTTAGTGTTTTTTTAGAAATACAATTCCTCTGAACTAATTATCACTAAATCTCCTACAGGCGAAGTTTGATCACAGAAAAATATCATTTTAATTTAGTATGTATCGGTATAGGTATACTTAAAAAATGATAAATATTGAAACTTTACTGATAGCATTCTGAATATACTTATGAGATCTAACTTTGTGTAGATCACTAGGACCGTCGTGTTTTAGTTATTTATATGAATCTGAAAGTATTGATGAACCATTATATTTGAGAACTAAATCTGAGCGAAGATCGAAATAATCTGTATAGAGATGTAGAAAAATCTATTTAAAAATTATTCTCATATTTTGAGTTATTTTAATTATTGTAATGATGCGCATCATTCGATTATATATTATATCAAAAATGAACCGTATTGATGTACACTACTAATATGTAAAAAAAAACCCAATAAATAACGATTCTTCCGATCTGCGCACAGACAACACAATTTAAATAATAGAAGCTTAACCCAATAATAACCTATTGAAAAATTAAATAGGTAAAACCTTTAAAGGACTGGTTCAATGTTTATTCGGCCAAAAGTCCCTATATAACAGAAACACACAACCCTCTCCTAAGCTTTTTGCACATAGGCCGTCAGTGCATGCATACCAAACTCTTGATTATGTACGTGTACACCAATCGCTGGGACCTTCGCAAGAGCTTCTTTTAACGAACGATAGTTTAGCATTCATTTTTAAGTTGTGTGTCTTCTGTGCGAGTGTCGGTATCCATCATTAGTTCTGCATACGGTGCCTGTGTTAATAAACTTCACTTTACCCCTACAATAGTTATAAGTTATCGGCTGATTAATGCATCGTCTCAACTGCCATAGAACAAGTGCTATTATACCTATCCAGTTGTATTGATCGGCTTTCGAACCTTTGTAACCCCGAGAGCCCTCCCCTTAACAAGGAGAAAGGTAATAACCTCATAAATCCAACTATCCACCTTTTGGTTTTTTTGGGGGGGGGAGGGGGGTTATTATATTATATAAATAATAATCGCTCTTGATATAAATTACAGATTAAAATAAAAATTAAGTAACATAAGTACATGATTAATGAATTATTATATTAAAAGTTCATGGATAGGGATTATAATTATTATGCTCAATTATGTTATAAATATTATAACACTTGATTTACCGACGTAAAAAAAATGAAAACTTATTATATGTTGATTGAAACATTGGGCAATAGGGTAAAATCGGTAAATGTTGAAGTGGAACGTTGTAATTTATTTATTTATTCATTATATTTATTTGTGAAAAGAAAAAATGATAATTACATTTTATTCACTGTACTAAATTTTTATGATTTTTCCTATATAGATTCTATTACTGTAAACTTATTTTGAAAATAGTTAAAATATACTTACCAGTGGCTTTTTTCACATCATAATTACGTACATAATTAAAAAATCTAACGTAGAGATTTCAAAAAAAAGTTTTATTATTTTAAGTTTTTACTTTTGAATGAATGATATTAAATTATTATTATTTCTCATAATTTTAATGATTATTATCATTAATAGACATTTATAATTAATTATATTTTATCAATAATAAAATAATAAAAACAAAACTTAGTAAATGTTTGAACTCGGATAATGTATATTTTATTGCTTGATATCTATTATGTTTTTTTATTGATCTTAATTACATCGGCTGCTAGGAAAGATACATAATATTGTAACATGGTTATAAATGTAGTATAGAAATTGTAAATCACCCCGAATGGCTGAATGATTATCTTGTATATACATTGTAGCGGTCTAATTAACATTATGCGCACGTGCGTGTATTAATTTTTTTTTATCTCGGTGAAATAGTTGAAAATATAAATTTTGTTTTTGCAAATCCGTATTTACACAACCTTCAAATTATTTCATTATGTACAAATTAATCACGTATATTGAGAGATGAGCAAAGGTATGTGTGTCTAAAGAAGAATATTATATTATATACAACCGACATGGATGAAAAATAAAATAAAAACTGGTCTCCCCACTAGAAAACATTATTGTAACCAGAACGTGATCTGCTTCTGAGTGGGTACACTGCTGTAGCTACTAAGTGGTGGGCCGCCAGTGACGTATGATCACTCGTACTATCGTAAACGTGGACCACTAGCACATGAACAAACCTAAACAAAATATTTCGTTCGGCACCAATAGATTAGCAGGTATTTAATACAATATTTATTTATTATTTAAATTATTACAATTTTTTAAATTATGAAATATCATATTACATAGACTTAAAAAATAACGAAATGTGTACAGCGGCACAAATAACATACGAAATTAAAAACAACGGACAATTTCTTCCAATATAAGACTGAATGTTTCAATAGTTTTAACAATAAAATCATTAGAGTTGCGCTTTTCGCTCAAGATTTTTGTAAACCGAGATTACGAATATTTCAACAGTTATCTCTCAGAGCCGTATGCATATATGGACGTAGGCTTGTTGTAAACGAATGGCCTAATGCATGGCTTGTTAACTTGATGGTTATCTAGTTTAGTAAAATAAATGTACATCCACAAACGAAAGTTATGTACTCACATTGAACCAACTAACTATTATTTTTAATAATTCATAAACTTATAATATTATATTACTTTTAATAAATGTTTTTTTTTTTAAATATCAAAAATTAAATATTTTATTAAGTGCATTGAAGTCATTGAACCCTCGAAAATTTGCAGTAATCATTCGTTGAACGTGTTTGTGGTTTTGTTTTTCATGATTAGTTTTTGAATATTTATGAGACCGAGCAAATTATGTTTATGATAAAATTATATTCTGTTTCCAACTACAGAATATATCTCTCATTAGGTTAAAATTCTATTTAGTAATTTAAAATGTAGAATGGTTTCAAAATGAAATACAGTATATTTTAAAATTAATTAATATGATAATATGCTTAATGTTTATATTGTATAAAAGTTTTATTTTTTTGTAAAATTATTAATATTTTTCACAAGAAAACATAACATCTCATATAATACATTTCTAATTAACACATTTTTATACTAGTCCATTAATTGAGTAATGTCTTAATAATTACATGCAGTTTAAATAATAATATGCTGTGAAGGTATTATGTAATTTAGTTATTAAAAAATAATATTATTAGTTGGTATTTTTGTACCATTATATTATTTATTTTTTTTATTTATTTATTTTTATTATTTATTGTTTTCTGTAGTGAAAAGTGTAAACTATGACTTCCATAATAAATAATAATTTATTTCCTCACAAATGCGTTTCTCAGTTAATAACGTAATTATGATAGGTTAGATTATGAACATTATACTTTAAAATTCTATAATTTTCAAATCTCAATAAAGATTACAAAAATTCTCAAGGAACAATACTTTTTATATTTTATTATTGGTATTCACAGAATTTCAATTGAACTTATATTTATTTTAAACAAGCCATTAATTATTTCTAAATAAAATAAATGAACTGTTTTTGTTTACAATAGGTATTATTAACGATCATACTATTAGCAGAATGAAATCGTATAGAATACAATGATTGTCGTTTATTTTGTTTATTATTCGTAATCTTAGTAATTAATTCGTCATAAAATTATTTATTTTTTTTTGTTTTAATTTGTAATTACATACCTCTCAGGCTCTTCTTTTAAAATCTAAAGTAATTATTTATATTAAGTACTACTTATTCTAGTTAGAGAACCGATCCACTCATTTGAAATAGATTGTCATAATTTTTAATTATATTTTTCGTATCGTTAGCAGGTTTACTGTGACCTTGTGTATAGGTATATGTTTAATTTAATACTGACACTTTTTGATAGCTTATACATGATTTTTCAAATATATATCTTACCGTTATATTTTATGTTAAATATACAAATATAGTTAACTAGATAAAATAAAATATTAAATAAAATGTCTAAATAAACGTATAAACGCGATTGTTGAAGTAAAATCTAAAATAATTTTATGTAATGTGTTTATGTTAACTCATACTTTCAAAATAATATACATAATATTTACATTTATTCGTCATTCATGAATAAGATATTTAATAACTGCATGTACTTTATAAAAGGAAAATACTTCCTCAGTTAAAATAAATTAAATAAATAATCACTTACAATAAGTTTATAAAACTTTTTCATATTTCTGAGAAGAATGTTACAATCATAGAATAAAACGAATTAAATAATTATATTTGTTGTAAATTATGATTACTTTACAAATATTATTATTATTTATTTTATGTGTGTGTGTGTAAGTGTATATATACAGTGTGTTCAACGATAACACAGGTAACACGAAATATTTTGAACGCATGACCTTGTATACAATTCGGGTTTTTTGTAATGTATAAAAGACATAAATTTACATTTATTTTTGATAAATCTTAATTTTTTAAAAAATTCAACATGCACATTTGCAACAAAATAATTTTTTTTTAAATAGCACCCCCCCCCCCCATTTTTACGTTTAAATTTGAATTATGTAAATTTTTTCAAGCAAATTTGACCTTTAAATTTTTGCTCTATCTTCAAAATTGACTGATTGATAAGTTAAATTTTCGATTTATAACATTTGTATTCATCGTATTTTTCAATAACCTACTTAGAGTTTTACAAATTTATTAGTGATTTCGTATGAATTTTTCTTAAAAATTCAGTTTACTCTCATAATTACAAGTAATTTACATTACTTCTATAGAAATTTTAACTCAATTTTCTTGTTAATTCAACAAGACGGAATCATCTGCGCATAACGCATCAATTTTTTATGAATATTTAAAGAGAACTTTTAATCATAGATTGATGGTCATTCGTGAGCTAGTACAATGGCCACCAAGATTACCAGATTTAATACCTTTAAATTTTTTTTTTTATTGGGACATCTGAAGACGGTTTTCTATTCTAATCCACCAAATGATCTTCAAGATTTGAAAAAAAAAAAATTACTACGTTTGTACAGTTAACCGAGGAACAAATACGTTCTGCAACACACAAAGAAGTATTGCGATAGTGTGAAGCATGCATTGCAAATACCTTTTTAATGGTAATAACTTTGAGCAATTTATACTGTAACTATATGTATTTATAACTGTAAAATTTAATCAAAACTCATCTGTACATAATTTAATTGTTCAATAAAATCAAAATTTTGTTTTAAAACTGAATTAAAATAATAGAATATGTGTTAGTTTGTTTAATTAATTAACCAAAATTATACCATTTACAAGAAATTAAAGTTAAAATGCCTGTAGAAATAATGTAAATTAGTTAAATTATTTTGCTGCGCATGCACAGAACTTTTTTTTTTAAATTTTTTAAAAATTTAACAAAAATAAATGTAATTGAATGTCCTTTATGCATTACAGAAAATCCAAATTGCATACAAGGTCATACGTTCAAAATATTTCGTGTTACCTTTATCGTTGAATACACTGTATATATATATATATATATAAAAATGTTTAATTATAATTGATAATTAGATATTACATTTATAAAAATAAAACAATGAATCACATGATGTTACCTAATTATATTTTTATATTTAATAAATTTACATGTTTTAGTTTCAATATTCTTATTAAGCTTACGGAATGTGGTAATACATATGTATAAATATAAATAATGTATTTTTCATGAATAAAATAGTTTTGCAGATTCGAAGTACAACAATAATATAAATTATAATTAATTCTAAATTTTTCACAAATAAAATTAAAAGAAATATTTCATAGCCAGTTAATAAAAATATATGTAATTTTATTTAAAAAAAAATGTTATATTTGACTACTTGTCATTGTTATTGGTTCATTAAAGTATTTAGGTTATTAGTTATTACTTTTTATAAAAATCATAAAAAATCATTTAAATTCAGTTTTATGGCTAGTATTGCATTTTTCTTGTATTTAGTGTATTTTTTTAATATCGTGTTAATGAATAGATTTATAATTAAAATATCAGAGTTTATAATACTTACTATCCATTTTAAAATTTATAATATATTTTCTTAACATTTAATTATATTTTTAATATTTTAAATATTCAAGGAATCTAAGTTCAAGATTAACAATTGATAAAATGGTTTATTTATTCTATTTTATGTTATCATATATTATTATCATCATGATTATGCATTTAAATTAAATTAAATATTTTTCTAAGTGAAAAAAATAATAATCCACATTTTAAAACTTATTTAGGTATTGAAATGTCTGCTTATCCGATGTTATTACACACAGTTGCGTGCTTGTGGTACGTTTTCTTTTGGAGTAACTTTTTATCTAATAGTCAAACAAATGAAGAAGACTGGGATCCCAAATATCGAGACATAAATGAAATGGGATATCGATTCCTCACCAATTGGAATCTAGTAAATCATTTAATTTAATTAGATTTTTTAAGTTTCATTTAAATCATATACCTGTAAGTCTTATTGTAAAATCAATGTGAAATCATAGTTGGGTTTAAGCATTTTTATATGGAGTTTTTATCACATAACTGTTTTTTATTTTTTATTGTATATTGTATACACCTTCTTTTACTACTTAACTCTAGTCATAACTTTCCTGGCACACCGAAAGTATTTGCAGAAATACTTATCAAAAGTAGGGCCATTCCTAGGGGGGTGCGAGAGGTGCGGGTACACCGAGCGCCATGACCACCCATCACATGTTTCAACATGGAATTATTTTGTTTTATCAAACCTAATCGTAATAATATATAATAAATAGTTAATACTACTAAACTTACTATAAACTATAGAGTATAATTAGTATAGAAAATTAGTTTTAGATTATCAGACGTAAATACAAGGGGGGGAGGGGGCATGGCAGCGATGCCTCATCCAAATATCACGAAATAAAACAAAAAAAAAATTATAATATTATATGTCAACAGTGCTCGACTTGGCAAAATTAAAGCAGAGGGACTCTATTTACTTTAAAAAAAAAGAGCATCCCCGAAACTTGGTAAGCGTTATAATTATAACGTAATAATAGTAGGGGAACGCTAAAATTTCTGAAAATTAGTTGAGATACTCCGTCCCCCTGCGTCCCCTCTAAAGTCGAGCACTGTCTAGAGCAGGGGTTCCCAACTTTTTTTTATCATCGAGTACCATCAGACTTTTTTATAATCAATACGAGTACCACCTTAATTTTAAAACTTAATTAGGAGTCAACAATTTTTTAAAGTATATTTTTATTATTCATTCATTTACTAATATTTTTAGTTATTTGAAATTTATAAAAGTAAAAAAATTTCAATTTTTAGTTAAATCTTAATATTTAAATTACAATTATATATTTTTAAATTTAATGTGATATTTGTTGTTGTTTATTTTGTACAAGAACATCCATATCAGGCTGAATAAATAATAATAAAAATAAATTGCTACGATTACAAATCCAATATCATCGATATTTATCAAATTAGATAATATCAAATAAACTAAATTAAATAATATTGAATGCAAATAGTAAAAAAAATAATTATACCACAAATGTCTTCGCATACCACCTACGAGCCTTCCGCTACCACGTTGGGAACCCCTGGTATAGAGTGTCGGTATGGCTCATTATTTTTTGTCAGGGGCCCAATTATTGGGCCCCTGACAAAAAATTTACAATGGGCCCCTAAACAACATAATATTTGAGTAATATTCAATAAATACATACTAAAATTTTTTTATTCCTATGCTCGAACTTTTCAATGATATAAAATTACCCCCCCTCCCCCCCTTCCCACCCACAATAATTACTTTGGATCCGTGCCTGTAGATTTTTTAATTAAGAATATTTTAATGTTAAAATTTCGAACATACCTAAATGGTAAATAGTATGGTTCGATTTTCTTTCATTTTAAGTTCGGTTCAACCTGTCACTAATATATATATATATATATATGTGTGTGTATTTGTGTATAAATATATATACGATTTATTGATTTATTAAATTAACACCTGATAGTCTTAAGTAGATGTTTATAGTTAGGATGGGTGAAATTCTAAATCTCGCTCTTATATTTACACCTAACTTGTGGAACAAATAGTTGATATAGCTGACGGAGTAATTTCTTGGAGAGTAGGACATATTGGGACTGAATTGAGAAATCTAATATTTAAAAAAATTTTCAGAACACATCTGGGAATTCTGTAATCTTTTTCCATATTGGATAACTGAGGACTATCTCTCGAGAACATTCGTGTTACTAGGTTCTCTGAAAATCTTTTTAACTTCCCTTCAAGCGACGATTGTGTAAACACGCCTATGATTTTACGATATTATAATTAATTTACTATATATTAATACAATATTAACAATAATAAAATCTTTTTATGTAATTTTAATAATTATATGAAAAATGTATGTGTGAATTCAACTTACCTTTTAATTCACAGTTTTTCCAAACTTTGTTCTTTGCCGGTTGTTTGTTTCATGATGTAATGAAAATATTAAATGGTCCCAACTGGTTGAAATTGGGTTCAACATTTCAAACATTACTTTCATTAGCATTTTCGTCTATTATACTGCCAACTGGAATTGTAAGTAATATGTATTGATATACTTGAACAATTTTATTATAGACTATAATACTTAATTACATATTAAAATTTTTTTAAACAAAATTAAATATCAAATTGAAAATAACTGGATTTCAACAAAAAGTTTATTATTTATTATTTATCAATGATATTTATTTGTTCTTAAATTAAATGGCATAATCACTAATCTGTTTCATTACACATAATTAATTATGGTACTGGTATAGTTGACCTCCACCAAAAAAGTATTCCCCCTCCATTTCTGTTTAGTTGACACTCACCACTTACTCCTTTCGTGTCTACGACGTTATAGAATATATATACTGCATATAAAAAAAAGTACGAAATTATAGAATATATAGAATAATGTTTGGTAAAATTCGTGTAGTAAAATTAATTAAGATATTTTTATAAAATTAAGATAGGTATAACAGTGGGTGACGTAAATATTAGTATGGAGTAACTACCTCAGTTATTCAGTCATCTCTGAACAAAAAACATGAATTTCCAACATACTTTAATAACGTACACGATAATTCATCAGCAATAATTTTTTTGCAAAATGCATACATTATTCATAAAATTAGTACTTGTGACAGTGGTTAAGGAATGGTTTTAGATCTACAAAGGGGTCGGTGGTGAGATAATTTAAGATTATGTCGAGCAGAAAAAGGTGTTAAGACCAATAATTGGATACAAAGTGCTCAGGTGAAGTTACCAAGTATTGTTCACTTTATTTATGGATGGGCTCATGAACAAACATCAGTGGACTAAATGTGAATTCGGAATGAGCAAATATACTTTTGTAGATTGGAATAACTTTATTAAGGAAGTATGTGTATGGAAACTTTCTCACGGTGATTCAAAAATAGGAGATGCGAGTTTCATCGTTGAGTTTGTTTGTCTGATGTAAAAATAATGCAGTTCGAATACTGTCGCAGCAATGAGTATTTGATGGCATATGTCGTGAGAACAATGAGTGCTTCGTCGTGTGTGTACTCAATCGATCGGAAAATACGTTATTGCCAATAAATTGAAACCGTATACGAGTTGGATTGACCATTTTATCTGATTCCTGGCGAGCCTATAATAATATTCATCAAACCGGTCTTTTTACACACTCAACAGTAAACCATAAATATAACTTTATGGGTCCTATAAGTGCAGCTCATACGCAGAATGTTGAGAGAATGTGGTTGCTAAATAGGACAACAAGAAACGAAGAGGGACTAAGAAAAATTTTCCTAGATTCTTATTTGTCAGAGTTTATGAGATGAAGTTAATTAAACGGCCATGATCTATTTAAAGAAATTCTGGAGAACATAGCAGAGTTTTGTCTACCTGCTTAATATTTTATTATTTTATGCATTTATTTTTTCTTGAATGAATTATGTAAAATATTTTTAGTTTTATTTTTATCTATTTTTATTTTGATCTCCTGAATTTTTATGTCATTTAATTTTAATTTATTAATAAATATATTTTTAAATTATTTTTTTTTATTTTTTTTTAATTTTTATTTTTATCAGACACGAGAGAGTAAGTGGTGGGCGTCTACTAAATATGAGTGACGAGCGGAAGAATACTTTTTTGGCGGGTGGTCAACTAGACCAGTACCATATACATGTATTACTATTTAGAGAAATTAAATAAATACATTATAATATTGACAAAAAAATATACTTGTAAAAATAATCAAATCTGTGTATATTATTATTGTATATGTTACAATATATGTAAAATAATATTGAAAATCATATGTTTTATTTACATTGCCTAATATGAGTCGGTAATTAGCATAATGCCAAGGCATTTTGTAAAATACCTGAATTATCCATATTGCCAGTACACTTTACACGTTTTTTTTTTCGTAATCTTAAACTTTATTTCTTCTCATGATAATTAGTTTTTTAGATAACAAGTTTTTATTCTTGAATATGATGCGTTAAAAAATAAAAACTATTAAAATATTAATTTAGTAAAACCATTTCAACCTCTATATTTAAATATAAAAAATTCTTAGAAAACTAAAATTTTTTTAAAAATTTTTTATTCGATTATTGATTACTTTAATTAGTAGAAATATCTTATACAGTTAACATTATTTTTATTAAAAAAACTCATTCATTTCAAGAGCTATTTTTTTTTTTTTTATTAGATAAAAAATAAACTGTCCGTGGTAGCTATGGCCATTGGACGTATTACATATTTTATTATTTATATTTTATGAGTACATTAATACATTTTATATAATTATTATAATATAATATAATTATATTATATTATATTATAAGTATATTAATACATTTATACATTTATACATTCATATTTTGCGTAGAAGTTGCATTTCCGATAAGAAATGTATGAGTTTGGATATGTTGGTGGGCTCTGGGTTGAGTATTTCAGCTAGGTGTTCGGATATTTTGTACTTTTCTTTTTCCTCTTGAAAGTTTCTGCTTTCGGTTAGTATATGTTTGACTGTGAGGGGGACCCCACAGCATGTAATATAGGGAGATCTTCTTTTTTCATCAAGTGGGAGTGGATAATAAAGGTATGTCCAATTCTGAGTCGGGTAATGGCAGTCTCGTGTTTTCTTGGGGTGCAGAAAATTGAGCGCACGACAATTGGGCGAAGACTATTGAGCGCACGAAACTTGAGCGCTGCGAAAATTAAGCTCTAAGACAATTGAGCGCGATATAAACCTAAAAAAGTTAGTTAATAATTAAAAAAAAAAAAATAATAAGTCATAGTTAATAATAATTTATATTATATTTACCTGTAAAGAAACTGCACCTAAAACTGCTTGAGTACTAAGTTCAGTATGTTTTTCTGTTGTTTTTAAAAATTGCATTGCTTTTCTCGCTTCAATTTTTGAAATATCGGGTGTATGATTGTGCTCTTTTTCACTTTCTTTAATAATTTGACTATTCATCAAATTAATACGACCACGACATTTTTTCGTATTGCATTCGATACATCGCTAACTATTGTTTTTGTCAAATCTATATAAATATCCGTTATAGCACAGAAGGTCTCGACCTTTTTGACTTTTAATAATTTCCATTTTATTATCAAAATTATAATTTAAAAAAATTAAAATGTTTTATACAATTAAATGAATAGTGTTCAGTATGCACGTGTGAAAATATAACATCAATAAATACCTTGCAAAGTTCACATGTGTAGTTATCCAGCGATAAGAGTCTACATTTACTGCTGCATTACCGTCGTTGGAATTTTATTCTTTCAATAACACCGTATCGATAACATTATCTGATTATCATCAAACATAAGGATTTATCTGACGGGTTATATAGGTATTCGCAGATACTGCGAACAAATTCATTTCTAATTTCGTAATTTCATGTACAGCAGTTCTGCACTAAGCTTTTACTCAGTATAGTATAATATTATGTTAAAGCGCTCAACTGTCTCGGTGCTTAATTTTCGCAGCGCCCAATTTTCGCCGCGCTCAATTGTTTTCGCTCAATTGTCTGCGCTCAATTGTCGCGCGCTCAATTGTCGGGACACCATTTTTGTTGTTATCAGTAAGTAAATGAAAAAATCAAACTAAACATTTTACTTACATCAAAAATCAATCTTTGAAAAAATAGTAGATACTTACTCAAAATATGAGTTATTGTATAATATGAGACTCGGGAGTATTAAACACCCTTGGTTTATTTGATATAGTATTTTTTTACATGGTAGTTTAATACTTATTACTTATTAATTTTTTTTATATATAGTTTGTGTGCGTCACATTTTGGTTAATGTACGCTTATGATCGTGAAATAGTCTATCCGAAAATAATCGACAGTTACATACCGTATTGGCAAAACCATGGAATGCATACTACTATTTTACCGCTTATTTTAGCAGAATTGTTTACTACTAGACATAAGTTTCCTTCTGTCTCAGCATCATTGGTATTATACTTAGGATTTGGATTGTGTTATGCAATCGTGTAAGTTTGAATTTTTCGACAAGTTTTTTATTTTTCAACAACCATTGTTTTAAAATAATAACATTTAATTTGATTTTAGATTTTTGGAAACATATATAGAAAAAGGACGTTGGGTATATCCTTTATTCGGGCTCTATAGCTTTCCAATCGCATTGGGTATTATGGTATTTTTATTCGTATTAAAGTTATCATTCCTATTTGTTGGCATATTCATCCAAAACATGTATTGGGGTGAGTACAATATAATATACAACATAAATATAGTATATAATTTAGATATAATTTAATTCCTTTACATTACATATTATTGTTTTAGCAAGTGCAATATGTATATTTTTTTTCACAACATTTAATATAAATATAAAAATGTATATATATTTTTTAATTTTTTAAAACAAATATCTGATATTTTGATATGTACGTCTAAGTATTATTGTATTGAATAAATACATTTAAAAAAAGGGAAGGTATTCAAAATTAATAATTGTATTAAATATATATGTACTTAATACATGTACACTCAATAGATGAATGATTTTAATTTATACCAAACTGTTATACAAACATTTCCTAGTATTGATGTAAGTATTTTAAATATTCTTCGGAGTATAAAATTCAATAGCTTATTAATTTAAAATTAAACGAAAAACTAAGTATTTACGAGATATTATGACTAATAGTAATAAAAAACTTTCTTAAATAGACATTATAAATATATTTTACTTAATACTTATTGGAAATCACATAAGTATATTTGCAATATTTATTTATTAATTCAATTTATTATTTTATTTTATTTATTTCGTATAGTATTAATTTATTTTTTTAACAGGAAATGCATTTTGAATACAATAAAATGCATAGAATATAATTAATAATTATTAATAGATAATAATAAAAATGACAATGATGATAAACAAAATGCAAAAATGTAGAGTAATGAATAAAGTTCAATAAGAAAGAAAGTCTTCATTGGCAAATTAAATTTAATATCTCATTCGTTCGCTTTTTGTATAATTATTTTTGAATTGGATAGTATGAAAATACATAAGTCTATGGAGTATGCGGCTATTTTAGAAAATACAATTCATGGTCAATGACCACTGGTTACTCATAGAACTAGTATCTTATCCTAGACTTTATATTGGAATCCACAATTTGATTCTTAAAATATAATCACGCACATAGTTGCTATAATTATTCGATAAATTATTGATCTTAAAGTAAAATAAGGTGCTATGTGACTTGTAGGAAGTATCCTACAGATAATAACCTATTTTTGACATATAATATACTTACTTAAAATATGTATTTTTTAATAAAATAATTTATGATTGATAAAAATACTCATATTGATTATTTATTTCCAGGGAAAGATGAAAAAAAGCAATACCGAAAACCTATTAAGAAATCATCCTAATATAAATTAAGTAAAATTTGTCAATATATTTTTTAAAAATATTGTTATTTATTAATACTACATAGATAATATATTATGATATATACCCATAGGCGCCCGGAGGGGGGGGCAAGAGGGGACATTTGCCCCCCCTGCAATTCAATAGAATGTTGAATATTTTAACTCTTATTTTGATTTATCAACATTTTATCGATATTTTTACTTTAGTGTGTGCCGTGTGGTGTTGTTGATCGTAATAACAATATATTATAAGGCGTACCTACAAAATAATGCGTATTACATTAATCGCGCAAAATTAAATACGTTTCAATTCTGTGAATTTATATTAATCGCCTATTGTGTAAACTACTTATGACGATCGACGCACCACGCACACATAGCTTCAGTTTTTATTTAACTAATTTTTTTAGGTTGTAAGGAATATATTTTTAATGTTCTTTTTGGTGTTGGATTTCATATAATTCTAACACAATTTGTAGTTTATAAGGAATAAACTTTTTTTAATGTATTTTTTTTTGTGTTTGATTTCATTATGCCCCCCCTGATAAATTTCCTGCGGGCGCTCATGTGTATACCTAATAATAAACATTGATAGTAATAGATTTATTTTTATATTAATTGTATACCAATGATTTATATGTATATATGTTACTTTTTTATAAATTAGTCACAATTTACTGACCAATTTAAAAATCTTCTCACATTCAATTTATCTAAATATTATACATTTTTACTTTCTTACTATATGTATGATAACTGATAAGACAATAAGTACATCAATTAATATCAATGTAGTATGTTATGTTATGTTTTAAAAGTATTGATTAAATACATTACATTGTATATTTAATCAATTTACAGTTTATATTAATTTATGGTAATATTGATACTATTGATTTGACTTAACATGGGGAATAATTTATTTTATAATTATACAAACGTAATTTTTATATAAATATTTTATAAAAATTTAAAATTGCTTAAATAATATTTAATATAGGAGGGTGAAATGATAAGTTTGCCCCCTCAAATTTTTTTCTGGAGGGGCAACAACCCACTCGTGCCACCCCTAATACCATCTATGGATTTTCTTGATTAACAAGTAAGTATGCAGCAAAAGTGTTGTGTATCATTTTATTGGATTGTGGACTAGTTGGTATTTTGTGACAAATAATAATTTCAAATAATGCTAGCTTATGATTCACCTAATAAATTCTAGACCAGATCCTATCAAATTCGGGTTAAGTTTATTAAAACATTGATTAAAATAATATAAAAATAATCCAACTTTTTAACTACATTTTTTGGGAGGTATATTCCTGAAATACCACCACTATCAAAACTTTTGTCAAATCATTATTTGTTTTATTTTTATATTTATAATCCGTTTTATTTTAAACAGGATTTTATAATTTTCAAAAATACGGTAAATAAATTCAAAGAATAGTTTTTTTTGTTAGTTGTGTTTGAGTATTTCCTATCTACAAAAAGATAATTTAATGAACTTGTTAGTAAGTTTTTACAGCCCAAAAAATGTTATATCAGAATATCAGACATGATTTCAAATTAACCTTCACTCTGCTTTATGTTTATGCTGACCGCACAAAATTTTATGCACGTAAACCTTCATCGTTTAAGAATAAATTTATTATTTTTTACATACAATGGTTAACGTAAATTACTGCACTTTTTTTAGTTTCTAATAAGAATTTACTTATTAAACAAAATAAGTTATTTTAATTTCGTCATTATGAGAATATATATGATTCGAACGATTATCAATGATGTACAGTTTATCGTAATAAAGTAGAGATTTTTTAGGAGATATGATAACATGCTCATATCTCCTCGGTGATTACTCCGTTTTTCGAAGAATAATTTTATGAATTCATAACTTTTTAAATCACTTGAACATAATTTTTTACTTCAATTAAATGTTTATAATAGTTATTTTTTTTATTTTATTTACTAAATCACGAATATATCCTTACACGAGGGTAGTGAAATACGTCAATGACCTCTAGAAATTCAATCATAAGAGTTTTCACGGTCATCTGAACACTTAAATAAAAATTCTTACGTAAAAAACATTCTGAAACACGATATCCTGGAATCATAAAAAAAAATGTATAAATCAATTAAAAGACTTGTACATTTTAATCCAAATAATTAATAAAACAGTAATAACTTGGCAATATTTATAGTTCTTTTAGACAGTCAAATATTTTATATAAATTGTAACTATCATAATTTTTGCTTTATAATAACTACCTTTAATTGATAGTAAAATATTTTATTTTATATACCATTAATTCTAAATTCTTATACCAATTTTATTTTTGTGAATGGAAATTCATAATACAACATGAAAAATGAATCAATAATTGATTATTTAGGAAACAATGTTTAGTGCATCAATGTTTTATGCAGGGACTGGAACCTTTACAATTTTAAGGGTTTCGGTTTCGGTTATGGTTAGGTTATATTTAAAATACAAAATTAAGATTTCGGTTAAAACCTTTTTTAACCAGTTCCAATTTTTTTTTCTTAACATGGAAAAACTATATAAAATGTATTTTATTGTTAAATGTTTCACTCTTATAAAAAAAAAAAAAAAAAAACCTTAAATTAATCAAAATAGTACAATATTATTGTAGTTATGAAATACTGTTTTAGGTACCTGTGAAAATTTTGCTATCAAATTGAAAATTGTAATGTTTTGTTTTTTTTTTATAAATCCTTAAATTTATTATGATATACTTCATTTTTGGTTTTATTTTAACTTGTTAAAACAAATTTCAAAAATGTTACTGCAGTTAAAATATAAATAATTTTTTTTTATATAATATGTATTACAAAAACATAAAATTGTTATGGTATTATAATATATTAGTTATATTATATTCGACATTTTAAAAAAAAAAATCTGTATAAAATATTAATAGCAAAATAATATATTTTATATTAATGTATATGTTAAATTTATATAATAGTTTATTTAAGAGAAATTTTTTTTTTTTTTTTAGTTTTAGTAAGAAATCTTGTTGACATGATACTCTTTTATGTTAAGTTTTGGTCTGTGATGTTTGATTTTTGTTAGCAAAAAAAAAAATATATAAATAGTTTTTATAGTCATTATTTTTTTGTAGTATCTTCAGAGTTTTAGATTTTTAGAGTCAATTTTTTCAAATAATCAAATAATCTGTTGGTACGCACTAATAATTCATTTTCTAGATTTTTTGAAAACATATAACTACATCATGTTATTCTAATTAATATATTAAATACACACAATTTTCTTTTTAAATCTATAATATTATTAATACATACATGATATATTATAAGAACTAAAATAACTTTTTGAACCTGAAGTTAAAAAAATATTTTGATCAAGATTCCGGTTCCAGTTTAGATTCTTTAAAGATTAAGGTTCCATAATTTGGCCAAGTTTCAGGCTCCAAAACAAATTTTTTTCGGTCTATTCCAGTCTCTGGTTTTATAAAATATTCTTGGTTCGGGGTAATCTGAGTTCCAAATAATTGCGTGAAAATGGATTAGGTAAATTCTGCCCAAAAAATGTTGACGTGCTAGGTAAATCCCGATTATCATGTATTATAATATTAATACAATATATAATCAGGGTCTAAGCAAAAATAGTGCCACTCCCTCTATTTTTATGTGTTATACCTACATGAAAAATATTTTATTTTTTTTATCTTAAAGAAATAATAAGTAGTGTTGGGATTATCAGGATATTTTTATCTATTTTAATATCAAATTTATAAGGTTATATAATTTATTATAAATTCATTAGGTGCATGTATTAAGATTTTAGGAATTCATATAATCAAATATTGATTGCATTTTAAAATATTTTTCACTTTTAACCTTACAAATAACTAAACCTTTGTCATCAAACAATTACATTTTCTATACTTATCAATATTCTTTTTAAAAAAAGAAAATACTTAACTTCTTTAAAATATTTACCCATTTATTAATTATAAAATATTAAATAAAAATCGTTACATCAAGGAAATGTCTCGTATATTCATTGTTCAATTTTTCAGAACCTTTATAAGTTAAATATATTTTTTCAGTATTAGAGTTAAATTTTCTCGATAACATTTATTATTAATCTTTTGGTATAGTGATATGGTAAAATAACTTTAAATTATTTTATATATTATATATTTATGTTGCTTCATACATTAGCCCAAACCATAAACACATTTCAATTAGCTTTGTATTTTATATAAAATACTCAGACGGAATTTTTAAAAACTCTGTTGAATATTTTGGGTTAGATACACCGAAGGTATTTGTTCAACAAATCAAAATTATACGAAAGATATTGCGGAAAAATATTTAGATATAAATGTTCCTATAAAATATTTAAGTAAAGAAAAAAAGCATAATTATAAAAATTCAAACGAATACCATATTTGCGAAATATCTATGAATGAAATACCTCCCTATTATTACAGAAAATAGAAACAAATAAGAAAGAATATTATACAGTCCTAAAAAATAAATATATTCAAACAGAAAACTACGAAGAAGAAGTATTGAGAAATATAGAAACTCAATTAAAATATTTTAATGAAAAAAATGTAGAGATAAAATGTATTTGAAACAAAATACAAGAAAAGTTCGGGATTATGACCACTTAACAGGAGATTACAGTGGAGCATCTCATTCTTATGGTAATATCAACTACCTAATTCCTAGATTTGTTTCTTTTTTTTCCATAAACTATTAGGTCACGATGCGCATTTATTTATAAAATAATTCAATGAAAAAAATCAAAGAATAAACTTAATTTTAAGCACTGAGGAGAAATATATAATAACTAAATAAACTAAATAAACTAAATATATAATATATAATATCTTTTTCTTAAATATTTTATCTTATGAATCAAAAGATTTTGTAAATAATCGATGTAAAAACAGACATAATAATAATACAGAGGGTATTCTGTGGAAATAAAATCGAGATAAGATTTTTAGATTCTTTAAAATTTCTATCTTGTAGCTTAACTGAATTATTTAGTAATCTAGACAAAACCCAGATTAAAGAACTTGGAATACAATTTCCAACAAAACATCTAGATTTAATTACAAAAAAATTATCTTATCCTTTTGAATAATTGTATCGAAAAGTAAGTGGAAACATGTTTACCTCCAAAAGAATTAATATTGTTCTATAATTCTCTTAAAAAATATATATATAACAGAAGATTAGTATAAAAATGTTCAAGAAATTCGCAATATATTTATTATAAAAAATCTCAAAGAATTTACAATGTTATATAACAAGATCGATGTGTTCTTATTAACAAATTTTTTTGAAAACTTTCGTGATCTTTCTTTGAGAACTTATAAC